GCCGTTATTCCCATCACTGTTGCCTCGCTTCTGTCAGTGTGCCCCAGGGCAGTTGTGACCAGAGTAGTAGTTCATCACCTCTGTGTTTGGAGTGAATGAGAGTCCAAACGAGCACAAACACCACAGCATTTGTACGTGTGTGAATGTTTTTACATAATTCCGTGTGTCGGTAGATGGTCCCTGGTGCTGTACCACAACCACTGCTTCTGACAGAAGCCCCAGTGGCATGTACAGGGATGATAGATAGATAGATAGATAGATAGATAGATAGATAGATAGATAGATAGATAGATAGATAGATAGATAGATAGATTATTGATACCCTTAGGAGAAATTCAGGAGGTACAAAAAAGCAGGAACAATATCTACTGTTTCAGAGCTACAGTACTTAGGACTTGCTGCAAAATATATTTCTTAAAAGGTTCAAAATTGACAAAATACTGGAAAATATCACAGCACAGTAAGTACAAATCCACCTGTACTCTTCCATCATCACACATGTCTCCGTTCATCTGAGATCCACATTTGCCGTTTTTGAATCATTTTTCGTCAGTCAATGAATAAACTCTAAATCTCTTAAGTCCTGGATCTATAGCGTGTAGAAGATTCTATTCTACCGTTGAGTTTGCCGTATTAGACCCGGGTTTCTGCTGTCTCCTCCTTCTTGTGGTCTGGTTTTGTCTCCTTTTCGTTCCGACTTCCACCTCAGACCTGTCTCTCATTCAGCGTCTCTCTCACACCCTGCAGATCCCAGGCGAGTAACCGGCTCATATTATTACACTTTATAATGGATTTAAATACAGATATAGACGTTAAAGTTAGTTCATACTTGCAAACATATGACTAAAACTTAATTTCGAGATAAATGGATTACTAAAGAAGAGTGTCCTTGTGTTTGGGTTGTATTTAGGGCATTATTTTTGATGACATATATGTTTATATCTATTATGATTATCTGTTATTGTTTTTGAGTAAACTTGCTGAAACCAGGTAGCTTTAGTCTAATATATAATCTTTTAATGTACAGCATACAACCAGATGGAAACTTTGATGAATTGCAGTAGAGAAGCACATGGTTTGACTTCCTGTATGAAACGCTGCCCCCACATGTGGCACTGGGACCCGAAATGCGCAAAATCACAATTTTTCTTTTCGGTCTCTCTCTCTGGTCTCTCCCTGGTCTCTCCCTAGTCTCTCTCTCTGGTATCACCCTGGTCTCTCCCTGGTATCTCCCTTGTCTCTCTCTCTGGTCTCTCTCTCTGGTCTCTCTCTGGTCCCTCCCCAGTCTCTCCCTCGTCTCTCTTTCTCTGGTCTCTCCCTGGTCTCTCTCCCTGGTCTCTCTCCCTGGTCTCTCTCTCTGGTCTCTCTCTGGTCTCTCTCTGGTCCCTCTCTGGTCTCTGTGTGGTCTCTCTCTAGTCTCTCTCTCTGGTATCTCCCTGGTCTCTCCCTGGTCTCTCTCTCTGGTCTCTCTCTCTGGTCTCTCTCTGGTCTCTTTCTGGTCCCTCCCCAGTCTCTCCCTCGTCTCTCTTTCTCTGGTCTCTCTCTGGTCTCTCTCTCTGGTCTCTTTCTGGTCTCTTTCTACTTTCTTTCTGGTCTCTCTCTGGTCTCTCTGGTCTCTCTCTGGCCTCTCAGGTCTCTCTCTGGTCTCTCTCTCCCTAGTCTCTCTCTGGTCTCTCTCTGGTCTATTTCTACTTTCTCTCTGGTCTCTCTCTGGCCTCTCTAGTCTCTCTCTGGTCCCTCTCTGGTCTCTGTGTGGTCTCTCTCTAGTCTCTCTCTGGTCTCTGTGTGGTCTCTCTCTAGTCTCTCTCTCCTCTGAAGCTCATTTCAAATAAAGCTTTTAAATAATGTTGTATTTGTTGGAAAATACACTACAAACTACATCTTTATCCAATAACATTCTCTCCATGTAATTTCACAGACTCGAAGATGTCTATCCATGTTGTGATGTCACTGATTTTTCTCCAAACTTTGTCTACACTGGCGACCAATGAAACCACTCCATCTCCTCCACCCATGATGGAAAAATCTACTCTATCGACTGCTGGGGATTGGTCCAACGTCTCCACAAAACATTTAAATACTACTCAAAATGGCTCTTCCACTTCGCCATCCACTCTCACAACTAAAAAACCGCAAACAACCCACAGAAACGACAACGCAACCACTTCTAGCTATGACCTTGCGATGAGAAACGAGTCCAGAAACATGATCAAAAATGACAACTTTGGAGATTTCACAACTGGTTCCATTTCGACGACAGACACCAGAATCGACGTTGCGAGTTCAGCTTTGCAAAATTATTCTAGTTTTGCGAATGTGACGACCACAAAACTGAAAGCAACTCCTGTCATGGATGGTGAAGCAAAAATGCAACCCAATAATACGAAAACTGAAGAAAAAAAGGAGAATGAAACGGCAAAGTGGATTCTACCAACTCTTTTGTGTGTTGTAGGGGTGTTGGTGATTGCCTTGTTTATTCATGCAAAGTTGGAAAATCGCTTTGAAAACCGGGTCAAAGACTATATATGTAATTCCAGATGCGGAGTATGTGTGCAGATGTGTTGTCCCGGTTTGAAAAGGCAACAGCTGGAAGAAGGATGGGGAGAAGACATAGATGCAGAGGACGATAAAGGAGAAAGGGAACCAGGAAGTGGAGAGACCGGTGCTGGTGCAGATAGACAGGAGGCCAAGGAACGAGTGGATGTGGTCTTAGAAGAAACTAGACTGTAGTGAAAATAAATCTGTCTCGCTCTCTCTATCTCATTCTCTTCCGCTCTGGTCTCTCTCTCTCAGTCTCTCTCCCTTTTTATCTATTTCTATCTCGCTCTCAGGAAAGTGGATTTTTCAAATATATCGTTTACTTCTGTGGACTTCCCTGAATTACTAAATAGATCAAGTAAATGATTGAAAACAGTTCTGTTTAGTTGTGCATACAACTGAGGTATTTTATATTTTTATCTTTCTTTTTAATGTTCTGTGATTATTTATGATTTTAATGCTTTCTTGTTTTGTTCAGCACTTTGAGTTGCCTTGTGTATGAATTGTGTTATTATACAAATAAACTTGCCTTGCCTTGAATACATCTATCATTATCATTATTCTTGATTATGACTGTTTTTAGTGAGTGATTTTATTGTTCTATGCTGACTCTGCAGCACTTTTTCGTCCAATACAAATAAACCGTTTTGTGTCAATAAATATTATCTAAAATGGATCTCATGGCAACATTATTTGCCACAACACTCCACAATTTGAGGCCATTGTCATTGTTCATAGAACTTTTTGAACACTCAGAGCCTGGCATTGGCCCCTCCCACCAGCACCAACCATTCTCACCCACGACTCATTCCAAACAATGCGGGTGAAGTGCCTTCAAAGGTCTGACAGGATCTGGCTTACACAGGCAGGGGGCACCACATTTTTAGCTAGTTTTTAAGGCCTTAATTTAGTCTAATCCTTTTTTATTATATGATAACTATGAGCCAGTTTAAAACTTGCATTTGTTTTACCATCTTTCATAGCAACCTCTTAGCAACCAAAGAGCCAATCAGGAGTGAGGCTGGTCCCTTCCGACTTGTGTCATTTCCTTTTCTTCTACCTTCCATCAAACAGTAACCCATAAAAACAGATGTGAACACAAAAGTAAAAACACAAACACAATTAACACTTCTCCAAACTTTATTGAGGTGAAAATATTCTTATGGACAAACTGATGAAACTCAATGTTACAGAAGAGAATATCTATAATAACTGTAGCATCAAGTTCAACCTAAAGCTGGACATAGAAAGATCCTCCTCTGACAGACACTGCTCAAATGACTCATATACAATAAATATCGCTCTTTAAGCATGGTAAAACCCATCGCCTCGCAGTAATAACCTCCCACACATATGGCAGGTACCAGAGGAACTGTACAGGAGTGGTTCTCAAATGTGGTGCGGGGTCGAGCTGATGATTTTTACCAATACGTTAGCCAATAAGTGCTAGCTTAACGTATGGAAATGGTTCTCTCAGTATTGTCAATTATTCTAAAAAGCATCAAGATTTTTAATGTATTTCTTCATGCACTGGAAAGCCGCAAAGGATCATGGTCTACGTAGTTCCATATGACGCATTGATGACAGGGCCGGATCTAGTTTTCAGGGGGCCCCCGAGCCGAATTGGTGTCACTGCAACTTACTCAAACATTTCTATGGAATAATTTGCGTGTGTGTACATTGCAAAATTTTGAACAGGTTTTCCTTGCAAAGAGTTTTTTATTCTTTTCTTAAAATTGTAATTCTTTTCATTAGATATGTTCAAGAATATTATGTGAAGTCGTGTATGTATATAGTAGTTATTTTGATTTATTTACCAATTTGCTAAATAGAGCTATCTGAATCCTAATAAACTATATATATATGTTTAACGGGGGTTACCTACAAGGCCCTACTCTACTCAGCCTGGTTGCGTTTCCATTACACTTTTGTATCTGGCACCGTATCCTAGCAACCTACCCACAACAAACCAGTATCCATGGAAATGCGTTGGTAACCATGGCAGGGCTCATGGCCAATCACTGTCAGTTAGAACACTTTAGCTCGGGCCTGGATAGAACCGGTCCCAAGCAGGAAGTAATAAAGAACCTGGTACCAGTTAAATGGACCCAGTGGAAACGCTCTCAATCTGAGCAGAGCAGAGCAGAGCCGAGTAGAGTAGGGCCAACGTTTAAATGGTGGAAACGGGGCTATTGTGATCTTGGGGCCCTATGTCACAGCTAAGTCCAATTATTAAGTGACAAATTTCCGGATCATTCCATCACCTCTCACTGAAACGAGGTCTAATGTAGTTCTAGCTTCTTGTTTTGGCTTTTCTTTAAAAAACTGACAATACTTTGCACCAGTCCTGAATCAGTTGAAAGCCACTGCTCTATCTGAAAGTGAAGCGGTTTGATCAGACGTGTGCGCTCGTAGATTGCTTATTGTGGACGTATTTGCAGAGAGGTCTCACTGGGCGGGTTTTATCGATAGAGGTAGTCGGACTGAATGTTAGCTGCGATCTCCGCCTCCCACTTGTCGCCGTTGTTGAGGAGTTTCTCTTTGTTGTACAGCAGCTCTTCGTGCGTTTCTGTCGAGAATTCAAAGTTGGGACCCTGCAGAGAAAGAGGGAGAGGTCAAAGATGAGTGGCTGTCCCTGTGTCCTAAACCCGAGCGCTGAGTCTTCCATCTCTTACAACAGGCTTTAGCTTCATTGAAAACATGTTGGAAAAGAGAGTAGACTTAAAAAAACAGAAATGTATTGTGACTGGAATTTAAAAGGACGGCATGAAATATTGTCTGGAGTAGCAGATGCAGTGTCTTGGTGTGGCAGGGGCGGTGAAAACATGATATAAACTTTTTTTTTTAAATAGCAATATGTAATGTCTTCATGTCAAGTCATCATTAAAGAGCCCTAATCTGTCAAAAGGCATTAATAAATCCTGCTTTTTTCTGATACTTCTTTAACTGATATTTCAATGTCCTGCCCTCAACCGTTTTACCAATCAGAAAGTCTGTGATCCGGGTCGCCAAGACTCACCGCGTCAAGCTAATCTAATCTCACTGGTAAAACAACATGTGGCCACAGAACTAAAAACGGTCTTGTAATAATTCTAAAATCATTAAAACAAAACAAGGAATAAAACCAGGATTTCTATCGGGGCCTTCGTGAAAAAGGTGTTGGTTATAGATTTTTCAAAACTCTTGTATATTCAGATATTATGGTCCCAGCTGGATTCGTCTGCATATCTGGCAACCTGAGTCAGGGAGAGTGGGAGAGGCTGCAGTACCACGTTTGGCCAGATTTCTACATGCTGCTCCTTTAAAGGACAACTCACCCTCAAATCCACTTTTTTTTGCTGATAAACGGTATAAATGAGTGTCCAAAAGTGTTGTCTACATATCCTGGTCATAATTTTGTCACTTTGGTGCAAATTAGTTGAAAGTTAAACTTTCTGCCTAAAACCGTCTGTGAGGCGCCATCTGCTGGCGACCTGTGTTACTACATTTGAATTTTGAATCTGGCGCCAACACTGGCGCCGCAGCAAGACCTGACGTCTGCAGCATCGATGCAGGCTATGCTACCACCAGGGGGAGCTTTAGAATTTGTTTTCTTATTTCATCAAAATGTTTAAATGCAGAGCTGCAAACACAGCTATTCATTTACAAAGGACAGAATTTCACTTGAGGAATTGCCTAAACTCCATGGGCAATACTTGGGCAATATCAAACCATTACAGGACTGAGACAGGAGCTTGAGCCAAATGATCCAGTTACTATCCTGGGTGGATCTAAATCACTGATGAGGGATGGATGGATGGATGGATGAGAGACGCACCTCTACAATAGCGTCGACCGGACAGGCCTCTTGACAGAAGCCACAGTAAATACATTTGGTCATATCGATATCGTAGCGAGTGGTTCTTCTGCTGCCGTCCGTCCTGGTCTCAGCCTCGATGGTGATGGCCTGAAGGCAAAAGACAAGGCAAGAATGATGTAAGGACAAGGCATTAGAATCCTGAATAATAAATAAATCACAGAACATTAAAAAGTGTGAAGACACAATCGTTCTGTTGTTGCAGCTAAACAGAGCTGTTTTTAATGATATCTATTCAAATCTAGATTTGAATATTTTCAGAGAAGAAGCCTGTCTCACGTTTTCAGGAAGACTGTTCCAGATTTTGGCTGCATAAATCAGAAACGCTGCCTCCTCGGGTTTAGGCCTGACTCTGGGACCAGCAGGAGGCCAGTCCCTGTGCTTGGTCTGAGTCCGAAAACTAATACAATTGAACTATTAAATAACAAGTATAATAATAATAATAATATCAAGTACGGACTGTTGTCACTGTATGTATTTGCAAAAGCAGTAATATATTTGTGGCAAAATACATGAGTTCACAGAGAAGTTGCTGCATTTATATGTTATGAAAGTATGTGCTCTGGATTGAATTCTCGTTTTTTTTATATATAATAGTGTGCCACTTTTGCTGCCTCGTGTCCAGGACCTCCTTGAAAACCGGTTATTAATGGGATTTTCCTGGTTAAAAACAAGGTAAATAAATAAAAAAATCCTAAAATTGAAACAAAGTGAACCTTCAGAAATGTGATGTGAAGCAGACATATTTGGAGGCCGGAGAGATAGGGGACTAGTAGGCAAGGAAAATGTATCTATGAAGCACCATTTATTTTAGAAGAAACCCAGGGTACTACAATCAATGACAGCAATAAAATCAAACTGAAAAACATGTAAGAAGAATGTAGGGAAAGGTTTGTGGGAAGCCAGGTCTCTGTATAGAAAGAGTCCTGGATCCTAAAAGGTCAAAGGACAAAAATAAATACCTGAGCCGGACATATGGCTTCACACAGTTTGCAGGCGATGCAGCGTTCTTCTCCCGAGGGATACCTGAAATATATAGTTATAGTAATTATAGGTATGTATCTGAAATTAGATACAATCTGACTAAAGTCTAAAAACTGTATTTCAACTAATTGTGGATTTCCCAGTTGCCTGTAAAGTCTAAAATCTTTCCCCAAACAGAAGTAAAAAGCAGTAGCTGATTAGAACCAGTAAAAGATGATCCACATGCGCCACCTAGAGACGAAACGAGGAACTGCAGCTGGTTCTATCAGAGGGACTTCAGAGAGAACCAAGATCAAAGTCTAAGGCCGAGTTATATATGAAAGAAAACTGGAGAAATCATCATAATAATTACTTCTCTCTGCAGTGATCAAGGTAAAAGGTCTCATTTCAAAGTCAGAACTCTGCTCCCACACATTAATAATAATGTTATATCTTGACTGCATCTGAAATCAAAGAAATGCCCCTGTCCTCGTCTCTCCTAGTGCTTGCTACTTCTTTCATTGGCATTTAATATTACAGTCCTACATGGTACAGTAAGACAGACACTAACGCAAACAATGATTAATAACATATCGCATAGAGAACAAGACAGACATAAGAAAAGTTACACAAACAAGACAAAACACATACACACTTGAATATATTGTGTCTTATAAATGACCAGAATTAGTAGTAATAGTTATAAATATCAAGAATTAGTAGTAATAGTTATAAATATCAATGGAGACAATAAAAAGTAAGTCAAAAGGCCAGAAAGGGAGGTTTTTTTGTATGAATTCAGATGCAACCCTTAACTGATTCTCACTTGGAGAAAGCAATACGTACTTTTTTCACACAAGGCAACTCAATGTTCTATCAAAACAAGATAGAAGCGATAACAGAAAGCATTAAAAACTATATATTATCACAGTATATTAGAAAGAGTGACAATAAAATCCTTCACAGCTATACAGAACTGTTTTTGAACATTGTGAGAGGAGAAACTTGTAGAAATTATAGCCTCCATCTCATTAACAGCCTCCAAACAGTCACAAATTAATGAATGCATTGCTTATAACCATATATTTCTTTTCTCACCTCCTCAGAGCATGTTCCCCCCTGAAACGCGGCGACAGAGGCCCCTTCTCAAACGGATAGTTGATGGTCGCTGGTTCTCTGAATAAGTAGCTCATAGTCATCCCCAGACCTGAAATGAAATACTCCTTTATTGTCTGCCATAAGATAAATTTGTAAACGTAGAGAGAGTGATTGTGACCTCTAAAGAGCTCCGTCCACAGCAGCGTCTGCGCGGCTCGGTCTGTGATGGACTTCATGTCTGTGGCCTCTTCCTGAGCGTTTACATACTCTGCACAGGAGAGAAGGAAACAGGTTTAATGTTTAAAGTGGAACACCAAACTCACTACATACATGTTTGTAGGTACGTACTGAAGCCCTCTCTCTGTGCAGACACACTGAACGGCCTGGTTATACTCCGACTTGCTGCAAAGGTGCCTGAGGAAACAGGACATTATTCATGGCTTATGTTAAAAATAACCCCTAAAAAGTACAACAGGAGTTCAAAGGGTTTGTAGCAGGGGGAGGAGCTACTTTCTCAGGACTAAAACAGTAGAGAGCTCCTCTTTTTAAGTGTCCAGGAGTAAATCAGTCTATTTAATTAATAGTCTGTTTTCGAAGAGGCCCTATGGACAAGTGTTGAAAACTAGCCTGGTCTTGCTTTAACACTAAAGGCAGAGCACCTGGACTGTCAATGCGACTGTTGTGTCCATACCCACTAAAAACAATATAGTAACCACAGCCATTATATGTCATGTATTACAAAGTTAGTAAGCATTAACAATAGTTGCTGGCTTTGAATCATAGAAAAAATAAACAAATTAATGTCATTTCTAAATCCTCTGGGGAGCTACTTGGAAACTGCTATTCAAATACGCTGTCTTGCCTACTCCTCCAGCAATAATCGTAGTATTCAATTATGCTCATGCTTCAATAGAACTAACGTTTTTTGTCTACAGATTTTGTAATAAAACGATTCATTCAAATCCCAGGGACAGTCATGAAACTATATAAAATTATATGTACTTTAAGGAGTACCTGGTCTTGAAGCACAGTATATCAAACGCAACGCCGACGCCATCACGTGCTAAAAGGAAGAAAACAGAGCTGTAAACAACCACTATGTCACCCCAATACATGTGCTTTCATTAATGTTATGACACATTAGAACGTTCAAGGGGCTTTGAATATGGTGTAGTCACTAACGATGATAATCATTTAAAATCAAGAATGTAACATTGCAATATCCCTATACATAACTAATGTCAAATTTAGTTAGCTACTATGCTAGCTCATGCTTATAAAAGAGATTACACAACACACGTTGGATCAAAACAGGCATATAGCTACAGGCATGGGTCTCATACTAAACAATAGAGTTTAGTATTGTTTACAGATATTTATCCAGCTTACATGGTTTGAACTTGCACAGGGCTAACGTGGCTCAGCTAACACCGGTGAGCATACCGTCAAGGACTTTTTTTAATGAAAAGGTCGCTTGAGGTGGCTACATGACAAATTCAGTCTTTAGCGTCATCCAAGACCTTCTATTCACATGTCGTTATGCACCCGTACTAATACACATGCATGCACTATGATCTACAAGTCAAAAGGATGTAAAACTTACCAATATTGTCGCTATTTGGCCTTCTAAACCAGAACAGCGGATTGTCGGAAAGGGCTCTGCGTACACCGGAAGTGACAACCCATGACGTTATAGCCGATTGTTAAATAATAGACGCCTAATTGGAAAGTTTTTTCAGAAAATATAGCTTATTATAAAAGATTACATTTTTAAAGTTTTTTCGGGATTTTATATTTCATTTTCATTTCCAATTTGACTTCCTATGTGTTACAGCAGCGGTCGCCATGGTAACGCTCACACACAGTGGAACACGTCGGTTTGATGCAGATGGGGTGGAAGTAACGTGATGTTTGCGGAGTTTTTAATACAACAAAAGTGAATTAACAACAATAACATGGCGTTGAGAAAGGGCAAGAACGCAGCGAAGGGAGCGAAGAAAAGAGATGGACTGGACTATGACCTGGGAGAAGACGTGACCCACGCAACTGCAGAGAAGTGTGTAACGTCAACACACCCGGTTATCCCCAATAACTATTATGGTTAGATAGCGAGTCACTTTCACCTTGCTTGTGAATAATGTCTCAGTGTCGGGGTGGACAGGTTGTACTGTTTTAATTGAACTGACAAAACAACATTTCGTTAGACCAGACATGTCCAAACTGAGGCCTGCGGGCCAATTTCGGCCCTTTGTTTTATGTAATGAGGCCCTCCGCCTTGCTAGCACACAGCAGCTTTTTTTTTTAGCCTTTTTGCCAATGTATTCCAATGTGGGGTTTTTTTTTTTTTTACTGCAAATGGCAAATAAACTGAATCTGAATCTGAGCTTTTGAGGTAATAAACACAAGTTCACTGTGTCATCCAACCAACGTCAGCTCTGCTAATACCTCATTGTAAAGCTCATTGTTATACCCTATTAAGATAATTCTTGTTTTATCTGTTCCCCTGGCAAGTTGCTCAACCCGTCATAACAAATCCCGGTTTAACCTTGTTTTATTTATTTACTTTTTCTGAATCTGATTCAAAGAATTTGTCTCAAATGAGCCAATAAGGCTGCTCTTCTAATCAGCTTCTTCCTCATTGGATATACACTATCAAAACATCATGTACATGTGCATGTTCATCATAACTGTTTAGGGGCGGCACAGTGGCACAACGGTTAGCGCTAGGGTCCTGGTGGTTTATTCCACCTCTATACAGGGCCTTTCTCTACAGAGATTACATGTTCTCCCCATGTCTGCGTAAGTTTCCTCCGGGTGCCGTGGTTTCTCCTACCACTTAAACCATGTACAATAGGTCAAATCCTCCAGTTCGGGTCTTAAGAGCCACAACCTCTGGATATGAGTCCAGCTGTACTCCTGACAGAGGCCCTAGTGTGGCTATACAGGATGGGTAAAATGATGAGGACCATAAAGTATAACTTAATTTATCTTTACTTAACTGTGTCACAGGTGTCTTGACCAACAGGAGGTGCTGTCTGAGGCTGAGCTGAAGGAGGAGATCACCAGGGTCCTTACGGCCAACAACCCTCACGCCCCAGACAACATAATCAGATACAGCTACAAGGAGCACGCCTTCAAACTGGTCTCTGTGGATCACCTCGCTGTTCACTTTGTCCTGGACGGAGGTCTGCTGCACCAGGACTCCGACGAGGCCAGGAGACTGAGAGCCAAGCAGGGACAGGCCGCAATGGAGACGGTGGAGATGGAGACGGAAACCCACGAGTCATTACAAACTCCGGTGTCTCAGGCTGAGGACGGGGATGATCCCACGGACGAGGACAGACCAGACAGCGCCACCTCCAGGCCGGACAAGAAAGAACCCAAACTCACTAACCAGTTCAACTTCAGCGAGAGGGCGTCGCAGAGCCTCAACAACCCGCTGAAGGAGAGAGGCACTCAGACCGAGCCTCCTCCTCGCATTAACTTCTCCGACACCACCAACCAGTGGGTGATCTATGATGCGTACGTGAAAGATCTGCAGAAACAAGACCGCAACAAACTGAAATCGGCAAAGGAGGACGACCGAGCGACCGCCAAGCTAAGCACTGAGACTAGCATGGACGGAGTGAACTGTACCTTGAAGATCCTGGAGCGGATGGTGAACCAAAACATGTTCGACCCGGTTCTCCAGGATTTCAAATACTACGAAGACACCGCGGATGAGACTCGCCATGTGGGGACTCTGCTGCCGCTCTGGAAGTTTCAGTTCGAGAAGTCCAAGAAACTGAGTGTGACCGCCCTCTGCTGGAACCAGAAGTACCCCGACATGTTCGCGGTGGGACTGGGATCGTACAACTTTGCCCGTCAGTCCCGTGGTCTGCTCTTGTTCTACTCTCTGAAGAACCCCTCGTACCCAGAATTCTTCTTCCACACATGGTCAGGGGTGCTGTGTGTGGACATCCATGAGGAGCGCCCTCACCTGGCGGCAGTAGGACTGTACGACGGCTCAGTGTGCGTGTTCAACCTGAAGGAGGTGAGCAGAGACCCACAATACAGAAGCAACGCCAAGACCGGCAAGCACACAGACCCGGTGTGGCAGGTCCGCTGGCAGCACGACGACATGGACAACAACCATAACTTCTTCTCGGTCTCCTCTGACGGACGCGTGGTCTGCTGGACTCTGGTGAAGAACGAGCTGCTGCACACCGACATAATCCGCCTCAGCGTCAGCGAGGAGGGCTCTGTCAACGCCTCGCTCACCTCCTTCGACTTCCACAAAACCATCGACTTCCTGTTCCTGGTGGGCAGCGAGACGGGGAAGATCTACAAGTGCTCCAAGTCGTACTCCGGACACTTCCTGCACACGTACGACGCTCACTTCTTGACGGTGGATTCTGTGAAGTGGAACACGTTTCATCCCAACGTCTTCATGTCGTGCAGCTCAGATTGGACCGTGAAGATCTGGGACCACACCCTGAGCGCCGCCATGTTTATGTTTGACTTGCGCTCCGCCGTGGGGGACGTGTCCTGGGCGCCGTACTCCTCCACCACCTTCTCGGCCGTGACCACAGACGGCGTGGCCCACATCTTCGACCTGTCGCTGGACAAACACCACCCCCTGTGCCAGCAGCAGCTGACCCACCGCCGCCTCACCCACGTCCAGTTCAACCCTGTCCATCCTGTGCTCATCATCGGAGACGACAAAGGACAAGTCTCCAGCTTCAAACTGTCTCCAAACCTCCGCAAACAGCCCAAGGTCAAGAAGCACCAGGAGCAGCCCAAAGGCCCCGAGGCCGAGGTGGCAAAGATGGAGCGACTGCTGAGTCTGCTGAGGGAGCCGGACCCAGAGCAGGACGCCAAAACACCGGCTAATGCGCAAGCTAACACCGGCTAACACACAAGCTAATGATAACTGTCAGTTTGTGCTTCATGCTAGTTCTGCGAGCATGAAGCCACAGGTGTGAGTTCAGGGTCTTTGATTTTGTTTTTATTTCATGATTTATTCTGTTTGATCTGAACAATAAAAAGAACCTTGTGATAAAAAAATAAAAAAAAATTAAATAAATGAATTGCAAAATTACAGAACTTGGATTGGATTTTATTTTCGTAGATTGTTCATTTGATTTATCACAGACTACGTTACGTTCACTGTATAAAGGATTGGACTGAAACACTACACTACACAAAATCAACTTCACTAGTTAAATGTTCGCGCATGAGACGCTGCTCATGTGAAATGACGCATATCAATTTAATTAAAGTTTGACGACATCATATTAATGAATCTTCCAAGCAGAAAGTAAACACAACCTGCATCATGGAACGGGGAAGAGGAGGAAGAGGAGATTCTGCTGTAGAAGTCAGTGTTCCTCTTGTCGTTTTTTGTATTTTTCTGTTTCCATTTTTGTTGACGTTTGTTGATGTTTCCTCAGTGAATGTGAGCGGCACCAGTGACGCCTCGGAGCTCACCTGGTCCCAGACCCAGAAGTGGCTCCTGGTGTCTGTCCTCAGCCTCCAGACGGTGATAGGCGTCTCAGGGAACTGCCTCGTCCTCTTGGTCAAAGCTAAGGTCAGAACATCGGCTTTTGAACACAACATTTTGATCTTCAACAGTTTTTGTCTAGCTGTTTCCGTTGTGTTTCCAGAGCAGAGGGAGGTTCAACAATCGCTGCTGGATTTCTCTCCTGAGTCTCACACTGTCAGATTTAGGTATGTTGTCATTTAGTTTGCTCAATTTTTCATGTTAATGCATCTCCTACCCCCATTCTTACATAAAGAAATTTACAAATTAGACCAAAGTTGACGACCTGACCAGCACCAAAAATACAAAAAATAGCTCAAACCAGATAATATCAACTTTCCATTATTTATTGTAACGATGATTAAATATAATTATTATTCTCATTCCCACCACTATTATTGATAACAATAATAATGATTAAAAAAAAAAGTTCACTACCATCATCATATTTTATACATGTATTTTTTATTTACCATTATTATTATTATTTTTATTATATTTATGCAATCTTTCATTGAGTCTAACAATGTGTCTGCCTGAGGACAAAGACCCTCTGTATTCTACATTCATAAAGCTGTTGATCTAAATTAAACAGAATATAATCGGACATTTTCTACGATACACCAAGAAAAAAAAAAAATCTATTATTTTCTCCTAAATTTAAAAAACATTACTCATACAATCTGGGATCTTCCTGAAAATGTGAGACAGGCCTCTTCTCTGCACAAAGTTAGTAAGTTTAGCTGTGCATACTGAAGGCTTGTTTTGTGCGATACAAATAAACTTGCCTTACCATACACTTTATGACTAGCAAGTAGGTCCTGGGTTCGATTCCACCTCCAGGCCTCTTCAGTGTGGAGTTTGCATCTTGTCCCCGTGTCTGTGTAGGTTTTCTCCAGGTGCTCCGGTTTCCCTATACCTCATCTGCCATCAAGTGAGAGGACAAATGCCCCTATAGAATACTGTTAACAACACAATACAATCTTTACAATACCAACACTGCTTTTCGCCACTTGCGCAGCGCCACGAGAGAAAGAATACTTCATACTTGTGTTTTCTGTAATTTCCAGGTTGCTCTGCTCTGATCATGCCTGGATCTCTGCTGGCGGTGCTCACAGGAGGTCAGAGGTCTCCGTGGTGTGAGGTGGTCAGTCTGCTCAAGTTCACCTTCATCACCTCCTCCATTGGCAGCATCAGTGAGCCACAAATATCATATTTTTTTTATTATTACACCCTTAAACGCTCACTCCTTAACGAAAACAATGTATTTTTTCTTTTTTTGAGTTTCTAAGATGTAGGAGCACTAATAAACACACATTTTTGAACCCATATTTTTTTTTTTCATTAAGGGCCTCTACCAAATGATGCAGTTTGATGATGAAAGTGTCTAAAGTGTTAGAAATGCCCCAATCAGGTAGATTTCAAGTAGCTTCAAGTACATACAGTGACTCAAAAGCGAGGAAAACATATTAAGGCAGGGGTGTGGCTGCAGGTTTTCTTTCCGACCAAGTAGGAGCACACCACTCACATCCTCAAGTCTCCAGGTACAAACAGTAAAATCCATGTAGATTGATTTTCAGGTTTTTACACTGTGGGTCTAAACTTTAATAAAAAATACTTACTTACTTTGAGGAGTTTTGGAGATGGGAGAAACAAGTTGGAGATCAGACACACTTTTATAACTTTTTATCATTATAATACCTCTGAACAGTTCTTCTTGTGGCTCTGTCCGCAGCCGTCCTCTCAGTGCAGCGGCTGGTCCCGTCTGCAGGAAAGGTGGTGGATTGTCTGGTTCTTGGAGCTTGTTTGAGCTCGTGGGCGACTGGGACTGTGTTTGGGGCTGTTCCGGTCAACTACTCCTGGATCAAGTATGGACTAAACATATAAGACCCACAACAGACATATTGATGGCTGTAGATCCAGTTCTGAGGCTGTAGATCCAGTTCTGAGGCTGTAGATCCAGGACTGAGGCTGTAGCTCCAGTTCTGAGGCTGTAGATCCAGGACTGAGGCTGTAGATCCAGTTCTGAGGCTGTAGATCCAGGACTGAGGCTGTAGATCCAGTTCTGAGGCTGTAGATCCAGGACTGAGGCTGTAGATCCAGGACTGAGGCTGTAGAACGAGGACTGAGGCTGTAGAACGAGGACTGAGGCTGTAGATCCAGGACTGAGGCTTTAGATCCAGGACTGAGGCTGTAGATCCAGGACTGAGGCTGTAGATCCAGGACTGAGGCTGTAGATCCAGGACTGAGGCTGTAGATCCAGGACTGAGGCTATAGATCCAGGACTGAGACTGTAGATCCAGGACTGAGGCTGTAGATCCAGGACTGAGACTGTAGATCCAGGACTAGAGGCTGTAGATCCAGGACTGAGACTGTAGATCCAGGACTGAGGCTGTAGATCCAGGCCTCAGGCTTTAGATCCAGGACTGAGGCTGTAGATCCATTTTTTTAACACAAACAAATACAACATTAAAGTACAAGGTTCCATACTAACTCCAGATGCTAGCAGCTAAAATGCAGTTATAATGAGTGTGTTTGTAGGTACGACCCTGCAGAGATGCTGTGTGCCGTGTTCTGGGAGAGCAGCTACAGCGACATGTTGATCTACATCCTCTGTGCTTCCTCCGTCTGCATCTTCTTCCCCTTCGTCCTCATGATCCTCTGCTCCGTTGTCGCTGCAGCCAAACGCGACAGGTGAAAAGAAAGTAGATTTTGGAAACCTCAGAACCTACAGAAATGTGTTGTGGAAAGTTGAAAAGTTGTTTGTGTGTTGTTGCCGTAGAAACAAAGAAGAGGATTTGTCTGATGTGGCTCCTCTGCTGGTGGCGGCCTACACTCTCTGCTACACACCGTTTGTGTTGTCCGAGGTATTTTATCTGCAGCTACAACAAGAAGCAATGATGCGTTACTTTATTGTATTGTGTCCTAGAACTAAATAATATAAGTGCCTTTTCATCGAAGGATCAAATAAAAGTGGGCTGTGGAAATGGGGCTAAATTGTAAACTGTGGCTATGGCTCAAAACTGTTATCTGAACTTAGAAGCATGGCTAATCACACTGAATTAATACATTGTGTGTGTCTGTCTGTGTGCTTCTGTGCGTTTGTGTACATGTGCTTCTGTGTGTGTGTGTGTCTATTTACTGTATGTGTCTCTGTCTGTGTGAGTGTGTCTCTCTCTCTGCTTCTGTGTGTGTGTGCATGTGTCTCTCTCTGTGTGTGCTTCTCTCTCTGTGTGTCTGTGTGTGCATGTGTCTCTCTCTGTGTGTGCTTCTCTGTGTGTGTGTCTCTCTCTCTGCTTCTGTGTGTGTGTGCATGTGTCTCTCTCTGTGTGTGCTTCTCTGTGTGTGTGTCTCTCTCTCTGTGTCTGTGTGTCTCTGTCTCTATGTCTGTCTCTCTCGCTCTGTGTGTGTGTGTCTCTATCTCGCTCTGTGTGCATGTTTCTCTCTCTCTCTGGGTGCTTCTGTGTGTGTGTGTGTGTGTGTGCACGTATGTCTCTCTCTCTGTGTGTGTGTAAGATAAACCTTTATTAGTCTCACAGTGGAGAAATTTCATGTGCGTCTCTCTCTCAGGTGATCCTCCTGGGGCGTCTGGACCTGTCCCCGTCCCCCGCTTGGCTCCGTACGGTCTCGTCCCTGATGTCGTACCTGGACTGTGGTCTGAACCCTGTGGTCTACTGCTGTCATCAGGACTTCAGGGAGGCGGCTCTGGTCCTGCTCTGGACCCGCACACACACACCCACAGAACCAGTGCTCACCGCGGCACACATACTGGACCAGCAACAGATAAGATAAACATTAATGATCTCACACTGGAGAAATGTAAAAAAACTAAAATATATACAACAAATGTGATGTTTTCTCCAGGCCAGTGTGGAGTGAGAGGAAAAATGCCCAAAAAAGTGCTTTGTGACTGCCTGTTAAAAGTGCTATATAAATAAATCTTACTCAACATTCAGACAATTAAGAAAATGTCATGTCTCACATTTTAGTTCACTCCATCTTCTGCTGCTGATTTGTCCTTCTCATCTAAATACAATAAATGAGTCAGAGAATCAACCAAACTATAAGACAAAGAAATCCAAATGAAATATCGGGTATGCAAAGGACCAAAAGAATACTGTGCATTTGACATATCATTTCATTAATACATACAGTGAGTCAAGGCAAGTTTATATGTATACCACAATTCATACACAGAACAACTCAAAAGTGCCTTACGAAAAGAAGTTAAGGCATATTTAATCAGTAGTCAGCTACATTCATTCATTTGAAATAATACATTTTAAAATCTTTCATTGGACGCACAGCTAGATAGAACAATTTTTTTATATACATTGTGGAATGGTCTTCTCCCGGCCCGGACTCGTGGGCTGCAGCCCCTCCCCGCCTGGGAGCCTCCTCAGTCCTCTACAGTCCTGCACTGCACAGCCTCAGTCCTCGTTCTACAGTCTGAGTCCTGGATCCCTCTCTCAATGTGGGTTCCCTCAAGGTTTCTCTTTTTCTCAACTTTTTTGTTGTTGTTGTTGTTCGTTGTCGATGCAGGAGGGTCTGGGACAGTGATGATCCAGGACACTGCTCCCTATGGTACTTCCTGTGTTCGAACGGTTTGATTCTCTAAACTCTTGTTGGTGAATCGACAGTTTTAGTGGGCTATACATGAATAGAGTTATCATACGCCTGTTGCACAATTTCAGAGAGACCAGTAAGAGAGAGACTAGAGAGAGAGGAGAGAAAAGGAGAGCAGAATGGGAGAAAGAGACCCGAGTGAGAGCAGAGGGAGAAAGAAACCATAGAGAAAGACCAGAGTGAGAGAGAGACCAGAGAGAAAGACCAGAGAGAGACCAGAGAGAGACCAGAGTGAGACCAGAGTGAGACCAGAGTGAGACCAGAGTGAGAGTGAGCGCAGAGAGAAAGACCAGAGTGAGAGTGAGAGCAGAGAGAGTGAGCGCAGAGAGAAAGACCAGAGAGAGACCAGAGTGAGAGTGAGCGCAGAGAGAAAGACCAGAGTGAGAGTGAGCGCAGAGAGAAAGACCAGAAAGAGAGTGAGAGCAGAGAAAGACCAGAGAGAGACCAGAGTGAGAGTGAGACCAGAGTGAGAGTGAGCGCAGAGAGAAAGACCAGAGTGAGAGTGAGAGCAGAGTGAGAGTGAGGGCAGAGAGAAAGACCAGAGTGAGAGTGAGAGCAGAGAGAAAGACCAGAGAGAGACCAGAGTGAGAGTGAGCGCAGAGAGAAAGACCAGAGTGAGAGTGAGCGCAGAGAGAAAGACCAGAAAGAGAGTGAGAGCAGAGAAAGACCAGAGAGAGACCAGAGTGAGAGTGAGACCAGAGTGAGAGTGAGACCAGAGTGAGAGTGAGCGCAGAGAGAAAGACCAGAGTGAGAGTGAGAGCAGAGAGAAAGACCAGAGAGAGACCAGAGTGAGAGTGAGACCAGAGTGAGAGTGAGCGCAGAGAGAAAGACCAGAGTGAGAGTGAGCGCAGAGAGAAAGACCAGAGTGAGAGTGAGCGCAGAGAGAAAGACCAGAAAGAGAGTGAGAGCAGAGAAAGACCAGAGAGAGACCAGAGTGAGAGTGAGACCAGAGTGAGAGTGAGACCAGAGTGAGAGTGAGCGCAGAGAGAAAGACCAGAGTGAGAGTGAGCGCAGAGAGAAAGACCAGAAAGAGAGTGAGAGCAGAGAAAGACCAGAGAGAGACCAGAGTGAGAGTGAGACCAGAGTGAGAGTGAGACCAGAGTGAGAGTGAGCGCAGAGAGAAAGACCAGAGTGAGAGTGAGAGCAGAGAAAGACCAGAGAGAGACCAGAGTGAGAGTGAGACCAGAGTGAGAGTGAGCGCAGAGAGAAAGACCAGAGTGAGAGTGAGAGCAGAGAAAGACCAGAGAGAGACCAGAGTGAGAGCAGAGAGAAAGACCAGAAAGAGAGTGAGAGCAGAGAAAGACCAGAGAGAGACCAGAGTGAGAGTGAGACCAGAGTGAGAGTGAGCGCAGAGAGAAAGATCAGAGTGAGAGTGAGAGCAGAGTGAGAGTGAGCGCAGAGAGAAAGACCAGAGTGAGAGTGAGAGCAGAGAAAGACCAGAGAGAGACCAGAGTGAGAGCAGAGAGAAAGACCAGAGAGAGACCAGAGTGAGACCAGAGTGAGACCAGAGTGAGAGTGAGCACAGAGAGATACAAACCATAGAGAAACACCAGAGTAAGAGCAGAGAGAGACCAGAGAGAAAAACCAGAAAGAGAGAGACCAAAGATCTAGACAAGTAGAAACCTGTCTCACAAGACTATTCTTTACTTGCTTCAGCTGCGCCCATCTAACCGTTCCTCTAACAGTCCTTCGCTTTGACAGCACTACTTTGACTCAGCGTCGTCAAAAAACAAAAACTGTAATGAAACTGCAGCACGTCGCACACTTTGGACCAGAAATGTCCCGTGACTCTCTGGAAAACCCAGAACTGAGCCAGCCAATGATCAAGCGCCTTCAGCACCACGAACCCAGAACAGGACAGAACCGCCAGAACCAAATATTTACACGTTTTTTGATTCCCAGCATGCATCTGGACTTGAATTCCTTTGTAAATTGCGAGGAGCACGTGACCCAACAACGCAGCGTCAAAACCCCACGCAAACACCAGGGCGAACCCGTAGCTTAATACAGAGCAAATTTCAACCATCAACGCGAATTTTCTTGTTGTTTTATTGTGTGTTGAGTTGATCCAAACAGGGACCCAGGCGAAAATAGGGAGAGTAAACCATTGGTCCAAAACAGCGGGGGCGCGCTTGAGCACAGTCAGGCGCGTCCACTGCACTGGGGCGTAGAAAACAGCCATGAAGGCGAAAACCTCTCTGTGGTAACGAGATTCTTTAGTTTCGCTTTTGTCTCTGTATTTGAGCAGCCAGTAGAGTCCCATCAACGTGTAGGCGATGTTGATCAGGGAGTTGAAAGGCATGGCGAGGAAGCGGGGTAGGAAGTCCACGGTCTGTTCGGCATAGTGGTCGTAAGTCAGATCCACGTTCACTTCGTCGAATAGTGACGTGTTGGCCAAAGCTGTGCAGAGGAGGAAAGGCACAATGACGTGAGCAAAGGCAGATATCATGGTTGTTGTTGTTCAATAGAAACAGAACGAGGCGAAAGAGACGTTTGTTGTCGCTGTTGAGCTGCTGCTGGGTTCTCCGTGGGTGTTATTGTTCCGGGTTCAGAGTCACGTGGTTTGGAAGCGTCTTTGCGATTGGTTCGTAGAAAATCAGAATTATGTTGGTGCCATGTAAGTACACATCAGGAAGTCACAAACAAGGAAATGGCCTTGCGAAACTAAAAATAATGAATAATAATACTTAAAATAATAATTGCATTGGTTTTTTTGTCTCTTCAAAAACGGTGGTGAGAGCCTACCACTGTTGCCACAGCTGCCCTGGGGCACATTGAGAGAAGCGACCAGCGAGAATTCCTCACAACGAAGTATAATGACTATATATATGAACTTGGGTTCATGGGTACTTTGGGTTTGCAGGGCACATACAAGGACAGAGGTCACTGCTGCAAGTGCGACTCGACTGCATATCTGATACTTGATACTCCCCCTGCCCCATAATCATGATCCATGAGAAAAAAGCAACAAAAGACTAAGCAGTAGAATGTCTGATAAAAGTATTTACTTAAACCCTCACACTGTCATTGAGTCGCTCTGACCCACGGCTCGTTTGGGTCGACAACAAACTAGGGTCAAATTTGGAAAAGTCATAGTCAGCTTGACAATAACAAATAATTTAGAGCAGTGTCTCCCAAAGTGGGGTCCGCGGCCCCCTGGTGGGCCGCGAGGGTACTGCAGGGGGGCCGCGGGAGGTCATAAAAAAAATATATAATTATTTAATGTTAAATTTATAATTGTTTTGTTTGTAATATTAAAATATTTGTGTTCATTATTTGACTTGAATAATCCACTGTAATCATTTTTGTATTACAATGTTTGTAGCAGAGGCTATTTCCCCAAAATAAAATAACCAGAAGAGCCTATTCTTAATGTTGTCTTCTTGGTTATTATTTTGGGGGGCCACGCAGACCCGTCAGATTTTTAAGGGGGCCTCGGTGTTACTGAGTTTGGGAATGGCTGATTTAGAGTATTTTGAACCCCTGAGGCGGGTCATATTTACCCAACAACACAAGGGCTGAAGTGAAAGTAAATACATGAACTTATTCAAACACAGTTTAAATATTTATTGCATCCTCTACAAAGCATTGTAAATATGCAGGTTTACAGTAAAGTCAAATAAAAACAAATACAAAAGATGTTCACAGCGTCAAAAACACCCACCGACAAAAGTAATGTTTTATATCAGAAAGTGAAAAACTGACCGGGAAGTGTGTTTGTGTTGCAGATGATAAATCACATTATCAAATAGAAACGTGTAAATAATAAATTCTGAACCTTTACAGTGGTTGCTTTATGTGGTTCACTTTTTGTGGTCAAAGATTTTTTAATGTAGCATGTTTTTGTTTATTTGTGGTCTGTGTCCTGAAAACACTGAGGAGCTGCTGGAGGCTCGAGAGAAAGTCCAGTCTCTCTGAAACTTGTTCTCTCTTTCTCGTTCTCTGTCACATAACCCACAATTGGGGAATTCTGTGTATTTTTAAAACGTAAAACGAGAGGGACCACTCACTGCATTTATCACACGCCACAAGCTTAAAAATATATCGATGCAAGTTATTTATTTTGTCACATTCATCTTCTTTTTGTTCCTCCAAAACCTGCAAAAACAAAACTGCGTTACTCAGGTGAACATGGAATAAGCATTTATACAGTTATGTAGTTAAACTTAATTGATCTCACAATGGAGAAATGTATATGTCACATATCTACAGATTTAAACAGTTTAAAAACAGCTTGCTTAAGAAAATGATTCGACAATGTTGTTTTCTTTCTCATTTACTTTTGTTATGTTATTATTAGACTGATTAATTCAAATGTAAGCCATTGATTTTCTCCTGCATTCGAGAATACCTAATTAACCATTATTTTTAAACACTACTCTGTTAATGTTTCCCCTGTGCTACAAGCTTGATTCATAACGGTAAAAGTAGAGAGACCAGAGAGAGACCAGAGAGAGACCAGAGAGAGACCAGAGAGAGACCAGAGAGAGACCAGAGAGAGACCAGAGAGAGACCAGAGAGAGACCAGAGAGAAACTACAGAGAGACTAGAGAGAGACCAGAGAGTATTACCTGAAGCTGTCCTGGTCCCAGAGGAGGTAGAGGAGTGTGATGATGAAGAGGCTCTGGGGTAGCTGTCTGCGTGACTGTAGTATCCATGACTCTGATACGGCTGAGACCTAAACACAACACAACAGCTTAGCACCACAACAACAACAGAAGTCCTGATTTTGTCTGATTTTTACCTCTGGCGTCCGAACATGTATCCCAGCAGTCCTCCGGTCCCCATCCCGGTCCAGAAGCCTCCGCCTCCGGTCCCAGTGTTGTGAGCAGAGCGGCCTCTGGTGTTGAAATACTGGCCCTGAGTGTAGTCACTGTTGAAGCCGTAGCCCGGGTTTGCACCTGGGTTAGCACCCGGGTAACCTGCAACAAGCAAAAGTGATGTTTTTTATCTATTCAAAATGATTCTTAAAACAGTAACATGAATGGTGTATTGTTTTTTCACACATAATAATAAAAACTCATAATTATTTGTATAGCACTTGTAAAAGCATTGTTTACAAAGTGCTGCACAGATATTATAATATAATAGAGACAGAGACCAGAGAGACAGAGACTAGAGAGGAAGAGACCAGAGAAAGAGATCAGAGGAAACAGACCAGAGAGAAACAGACAAGAGAGAAACAGACAAGAGAGAAACAGACCAGAGAGAAAGAGACCAAAGAAACAGACCAGAGAGAGAGAGACCAGAGAGAAACAGACCAGAGAGAGACAGACCAGAGAAAGAGATCAGAGAGAAAAACACCGGGGCCTAATTAACGAGTCCAGTCCCAAAGCCATGTATTGTTTTGGCAACATCATATTTACACCAGAATTTGTGTGGCGTTACCAGAGGAGGTGTAGTCAGGTTTGAAGCCCGGAGGAGGAGGGCCAGAGTCGGGCTGATGTCCCTGTGGTCCCTGTGCTCCCTCTGGTCCCTGGGAGCCCGTGTTCCCGCTCAGGAACAGTTTGTAAACAGCGAAGGCGACCCCGAGCAGCAGCAAGACTCCCAGCAGACCCCCTGCGTCCCCCCCTCCGGCGGGAGACGGGCTCTGACGAGGAGGAGTCTTGTGACCAGAGGAATCGCCGAAGAAACTGGAGGCAAAATCTGAAACAAAACAATTGGTTAGGGTTAGGGTAGATAACGAAATACAAAAGAAAAAGCTCTAAATACAGTTGAAGCAGAAGTCAAAACCAGAAAATTGGTAGTGTGGAATAAAGTAAACGCCTCCTCTAGCTCGCTTTTTAGAATGGATAGTTTATTTGTGGACCAGAGAGAGAGACCTGAGAGAACCAAGAGAAACCTGAAAGAGACCAGAGATGGAGACTAGAGAGACCAGAGAGAGAGAGACCTGAAGGAAAGTGAGACCAGAGAGAGAGACCTGAGATAGAGACCTGAGGGAAAGTGAGACCAGATTGAGAAACCTGAGAGAGAGAGCAGAGAGAGAGAAACCTGGGAGAGAAGCCAGAGAGAGAGAGAGACCTGGGAGAGAAGCCAGAGAGAGAGAGAGCAGAGAGAGAGACCTGGGAGAGAAGCCAGAGAGCTTGTGGAACTAAAATGAATCTTTATATAAAAGCCATGGATTTCAAATTTAAAAAAAGTTTCAGGACAAAAAGAGACACTAAAACCCCCAAAATCCTCCTTTGTGAAAGCTGAGGACAAACCATTTTACTTCACACTGAGGTCTGTGGGAAAATCTCCTTACATCCTTACTGTGCATTTAAGCTGCAGTACCACAGGTGGCCTCTAGTCCATGTGGAGCCGGATTTAACCAGAAACACTCTATCCAGATAATCCACGGCTGTGACCAAAATAGTAAATCTTGCATATTTGTTTAAAATAGCAATGCAAATATTGTTAAAAAGTGTGAAATATTGTGACATTTTCCTCCCCCAAATACAGGTTAAGGTTAAGGCTCTTTTACTTGTTTCACTTTACATAACTTTGCATAGATATGATAAGATATTGCAGAGTTTTTGCGTCTGTAACTCTCTCTGCTGAAGCCAAATCCCACACAACACGATACACTGTGTTTTTTAGGCAGAAGTCGTTCTCTGCTCTCACTTCACACATCTCTTCTCTCACATTTCTTTCCGGCCGCAAAACCACAAGAGCCAGTTCTCTTTAGCAAATGTGGCACTTAAGGGGGTTGCATTTACAGACACAGAACAAGATTATAAATGAACAAATGACATAAAGTACAGGAAAGTATTTGAAGTTAGTGCAGATGGAGATTAGCGGCGGGAATTGGCAAAAATGTAACGATTCCTATTGCAATATTTGGGCAACAATTCAGGGAGTTTAGAGATTCCATTGAAATACCATAGACTAGAACTACAACCTGTGGCTTTGAATCTACCAGTAGCTCGCCATCTCCTCTCAGGTAGCTCCCCAAAAGATGGAAGAATTTCATCCATGATCCTGAATCATTTTGAGTCTATTTTAAGTATAAATCTTATCGTTAATGCAGGTCGACTGTATGATTGTATTATGCATGTGTCTTCTCCATGACTACAATTGTACTACAACTGCTGAAAGTAGTAGCTCTCCGCCGTTTCTGTTTTATAAAAGTGGCTCTCCAATTGAAAAAGGTTGGAGACCCCTGGACTAGACTCACAAAAAGCAGGCATAAAAGGTAAATAGAAGGATTTTCCCAAATTTTAGGAAAGAACCGCCCTTTCCACTTTTTAAACAAAACCCTATGGTCTTGTTTGATGATCTCCTATGACCATTAGAAGAACCAATAGTTTTGATGATCCACCCGGAAGTAGAACATCCTCCTGTATACCTTTAATTGAGTATCATAAACTTCAGATATAAATTATCAGAGTAAACTTGGAGAAAACACAATACTTTGCTCTACTGTATAGATTTTATTACACGCTTAAAATATTGACAACAGAATGGATTTTTTCCCCGCATCACTAATAGAGTTATGGATAATGCTCTTGCTGTTATACAATATACAGTGGTATAAAACCACCCCTTTAAATGTTTGGGATTTTCCTTTATAAATCATTGGTTGTTTGGATAATAATAATAATAATAATAATACATTTTTATTTCAGACTCAAGGTCCATATAAGAAATGTTAGTTAAATGTATCATATAGGAGACAAACACAATTATATTTCAGAAGTGAAAGTCTAAGAATGATGGGTGTGTATATGTGTGTATGTGTCTGTATATGTGTCTGTATATGTGTCTGTATATGTATATGTGTCTGTATATGTGTCTGTATATGTGTCTGTATATGTATATGTGTCTGTATATGTGTCTGTATATGTGTCTGTATATGTGTCTGTATATGTGTCTGTATATGTGTGGATGGGTCTGTATATGTGTCTGTATATGTGTCTGTATATGTGTCTGTATATGTGTCTGTATATGTGTGGATGTGTCTGTATATGTGTCTGTATATGTGTCTGTATATGTGTGGATGGGTCTGTATATGTGTCTGTATATGTGTCTGTATATGTGTCTGTATATGTGTCTGTATATGTGTCTGTATATGTGTCTGTATATGTGTCTGTATATGTGTCTGTATATGTGTCTGTATATGTGTCTGTATATGTGTCTGTATATGTGTGGATGTGTCTGTATATGTGTCTGTATATGTGTCTGTATATGTGTGGATGGGTCTGTATATGTGTCTGTATATGTGTCTGTATATGTGTCTGTATATGTGTCTGTATATGTGTCTGTATATGTGTCTGTATATGTGTCTGTATATGTGTCTGTATATGTGTCTGTATATGTGTCTGTATATGTGTCTGTATATGTGTCTGTATATGTGTCTGTATATGTGGATGTGTCTGTATATGTGTCTGTATATGTGGATGTGTCTGTATATGTGGATGTGTCTGTATATGTGTCTGTATATGTGTCTGTATATGTGTATGTGTCTGTATATGTATATGTGGATGTGTCTGTATATGTGTCTGTATATGTGTCTGTATATATGTGTATGTGTCTGTATATATGTGTATGTGTCTGTATATGTGTATGTGTCTGTATATATGTGTATGTGTCTGTATATATGTGTATGTGTCTGTATATATGTGTATGTGTCTGTATATGTGTATGTGTCTGTATGTGTATGTGTCTGTATATGTGTATGTGTCTGTATATATGTGTATGTGTCTGTATATGTGTATATGTGTCTGTATATGTGTCTGTATATGTGTCTGTATATGTGTCTGTATATGTGTCTGTATATGTGTCTGTATATGTGTCTGTATATGTGTCTGTATATGTGTCTGTATATGTGGATGTGTCTGTATATGTGTCTGTATATGTGTATGTGTCTGTATATATGTGTATGTGTCTGTATATGTGGATGTGTCTGTATATATGTGTATGTGTCTGTATATATGTGTATGTGTCTGTATATGTGTATGTGTCTGTATATGTGTATGTGTCTGTATATATGTGTATGTGTCTGTACCTCCGAACCCCCCGGAGCCTCGCTGGGACCCCCACCCGCCCTGGTTCTTCTTGCGCCCCTCCTCCGTCAGCTCCAGGGAGAACTCCAGGCCACAGGATCCGGCCAGAATGTACGGGTCTGAGGGGTGGTTAAAGCCCTCGCAGCTCACCTCAACACGACCGAACCGGAGCGAGTTATCCATGTCTGTCTTACACTCCCACTGCAACACAAGGACATGGATTCAAGAGTGCCAAAATGTCTCACTGCAGGGTCAAAGCAGCTACTTGATAAATCTTAGAACAAGGGAGAGGATGGAGAAGGGTGGTAGAAATAAAAAAAAAGGGAAATTAAAGCTGGGGTAACTGACTTTTTTTGTTTAATAAATAATACATTCAGTTTAAACTGGTTTAGTCCTGTTCAGTCCTGGATTAGTCCTGGTCAGTTATGGGTAAGTCCTGTTTTAGTCATGGTATAGTTATGGTTTTGGTTAATCTGTTTAGATTTGTTTTGATCCTAGTTTAGTCCTGGTATAGTCCCTTATAAGCCGGGTTTAGTCCTGGTTTGGTCCTAGTTTAGTCCTAGCTAAGTCCTAGTCTAGTCCTGGTTAAATCCTAGTTTATTCCTGGATTAGTCCTGCTTTAGTCCTTGGCTAGCACTGCTTTAATCCTGGTTTAGTCCTGCTTTAGTCTTGGTACCCACGATATGAGAGATTGTGTTCTGGAGGGTTTAAATAAATCTAACCGTCCTGCATTGGTAAAGAACGAGTGGGTAAAAGTGATTTGCCATAAGCCTCTGGCCTCACCTGGACGTCCACCCCGTCCCAGCCTTTGTTCTGACACTGCACCACGTCCGGAGAGAAGGCGTGGCAGCCGGCAGAGCCCCCCACACACTGCAGCTGAGGCACCGGGCTGGAGCGCCTCCCGGTGGTGAAGCGGCCCTTGTACAGAGTCAGGACCTGGATGTCCCGCAGCAGAACGGCACCAGCTGAAGAACAGAACCACAGTCTGTAACAGTCAGATTTACTGTAGCGTCAGATATGCATTTAATTTTACACCAAGAATTCTGAAACTACTGGAACTCCCAAAGCCCTTTAATTTTCCCCGTAGGAAACTTTGTCCTCTGCATTTGACCCATCCTGATGCCACCAGGGCGTCTGTCAGGAGCAGTGGTCGTCGTAGTAACCAAAAACCCATCTCCAAATGTAGATGCTCGGCTTGGTTAGGACCGAAGCTTGAATTTTACCTATTGTACATGTTTTTAGTTTTTAGTGGGAGAGGAAACCTACGCAGACACAGGGAGAACATGCAAACTCTCCTTAATATTACACTAAGACTCCCATAATTCTGAAACCAGTGAAACTCCCAGAGCAGTCATAGAATAAGTGCACACCAGAGCTGGAGGATTTACCTATTGTGCATGTTTTTAGTGGGAAGAGAAACCGGAGCACTCAGAGGAAACCTACACAGAAATGGAGAGAACATGCAAACTCCACGCAGAAATATTCTATTACGACTGGGATTCGAACCCAGGACCTTTTTGCTGAGAAAGTCTGAGAGATTCCCTCAAGAATTAGTATTTTTTAACCCGAATTATTAAAAGAAGTTTATGAGGTTTATTTTGAACCTAAACTTAGATTGTTTTTAATTAATTGACTGTTCTGGGAGTTTCAGTCTTAATAATATTTACACAAAAACGTACAATAAATAATATATCATATATTTTTGGACGGTCCTGGAGACGTAACTTATTAAAAAAAAGTAAAAAATATAAACTATTTACAACCACAACAAAAATGCAGCTCATCCAACCAAATGAAAGATGAATGAAACCTGTTAAATGTAATTAAATAAATAGATTTGTATCGTAATAACAGTTATATTTAGTTCATGGTAAAGTACTAACAAGCTAGGTTAGCTAAACACAGGAAGTCCAGCTAGCGTCACTTTATACTTACGGTCATTCCAGCAACAAACCGGCTCCAACAACAAACACACGACAAAAACTATTAATCCCCGCACCATGTTTGCGCAATAACTTCTTTCTTTGATATATTCCTCAGTGTGATATCTTTAAAACAGTGGAATCAAGTCAAAAAAGAAACTGCGTCCGTCGCTTCCTTCAAACAGAGCGACCGGAAACTTCCGGGTTGCGTCGTTTGTTGTCGTCTCGCTGGGCCAATCAGAGACAGGCACGACTGGTTCACGCAAACGCACTTTCTGATGCAAATAGAGAGAAACTTCTATCTCTCCAACGTAACGAGTTTGCCTATACACAATTGTGACTAGCTACCAAATAAGGGTAATAACATATTTTAAAACACAGATAGTATGAGCCAAGTAGGGGCAAGTTTATCTGTATAGCACAGTTCACACACACGGCAACTCAAAATAAGATCGAAACAATAAAATGCACTAAAATAATAAATAATCGGATACAGAAAAGACAGATCAAATGCCTCGTTTGTTGCACAGTTTGTAATCTGGATTTGAACATTGTCTGAGAAGAAGCTTGTCTCACATTTTCTGGAAGACGTATACGACTGGAACGCCGCCTCCCCATGTTTAGTCCAGACTCTGGGCACCAGCAGAACGCCAGTCCCCGGTAAAGGACTTCATTTGTATTGCTCTGAAACTCTTCCAAACAAATACATTTAACAGAGAATGTTCCTGACTATAGTTTTAACTTTTATGTTCTGTGCTGTTTATGAGAGTAAATGCGAGTTCCTCCAAATGAAGCTGCCACACTGAGAATTTAAAGCTAATAATAAGATTTTACACACCTATAGACACAAATAGACCGATTTAATAATACTCTATCACCAATGACATTTCTTGCTCCAAGTCTTAAACTACAAAAGCGCTTTCATTTGTATTTTTAGACATTAGATTAATCAACCCAGGTGCCTTCCAGTGTGTTCAGACTGCTACAAAACTCTTATTGTTAATGCTCATGTAACTACAGCAAACACATACTGCATTTACAAAGCCCACAAGATTCACTTTACACTCTTGCACAACAGTTTAAAACAAGGTTCCGGCAGTAATGTTATCAGTAAGTTAGTGAGAGAATACACAAAGTTACATTGTAGGGTTATTTATAGTATAATCTGGCAACCCATGCATAGTTATAGTAATAGATTGAGTTCATGTGACATCACAGCGTTTCAAAGAGCCTACAGTTTGACATTGTGGTGCAGGAGTAGCTGAAAAATCCTGTAATGATCATGGGAGCTGATTTATATAATTCTTGAGCAAATCTACATGAAACAAAAACACATTGTCAACTCTGGTCTAAACATTTTCTAAGTAAGTAAGCTTTATTTATATACCGCCTTTCACAGACCAGAGTCACAAAGCGGTTTACAATTGTTTTTTTTTTTCTCATAAAAGTTGAGAAGTGGTGACAATATTCAAAAACATGTCAGTCAGAAGAAATTACTTTTAGACACAGGAATAATATAGGTCTGTGAATTTAATCAAAGTGAAATAAAGGTCTGGGAAAAAACACTTAACCCTTAAATCTGTCTACATTTATTTTCTCTTTTCTTTGAGTACTGCCATTTATTTTTACACTCTGGCTGCTTTATTTTATTTGGCTTTTTTTCCAAGGCTGCATTATTCTATTCTCTCCGTTTTTGTCTGAAAGTGAAGTAAGGCAGAGCAAAACAATGACAAAACATAATCTGCGGATATAATAGTACATTTTATTTATATTGCACCTCACATTTCCAGGAAACCTCAAAGTGCTAAACTAAAATGTATAAAATCATAAGGGATTTTTCTTAAGCAAATGTTTAATAGTAATATATACATTTAGAATCTCAATTTGCAGCAATATCTTAATGCATTGGTTTATGTGGCCATTTTCCCCTCATTCATTATTTTGGCAGTTTTGGGCCAACAACATAAAACCTTTGAAAAAATCTAAGACATTTTGAAATAAGGAGAAAGACTCATCATGTTGGATTTTGGTGTATAATTTTAATGTACTCTCACAAGTCGGTGAACAAGGTACAAGTTTTGTCGCTCACGATACTAAATCACACATCCATTGATAGTATAAATAGCCAACCTAAAAATAATAGTACACATTTTCAAATACATAAAATCATCAAGTATCGAAGTCTTTAAGTTACGGACAACAAAATAAAAAGGCGTACAAAATATAGCAGAAGTTGGAAGTCCAGTTTGAAGCAAAAATAACAACTCCAGAAGCTAAAAAATAACGTTATCACATTTTGGACACGGCAGTAAACTAGTAAACAAAACCGTTTTGAAAGGAAATTAACAGCTCCCAGACTTCAAACACACGGAACACAAAAAGCATATAAAACTGTACTGAAAGGGCATAATTCTTAAGACTTCTTACACGAGACAAAGGCAACAATTTGTATTTTTTTTTTGTTCTGAGTAGAAAAACCGAACACCTTTCTCAATGCCAGCCGTCGCGATTGTAAGGCATTTATGGATGTGAGTGCTCAGGAAGGCATAGCTCTTTCTATTCAGGCTCCACAGATTTAGAGTATAAGGGACAATACCAGACATGAGGCTGTGTTCACCATCTACAAGCGGCAAAAAAAACCAAACAAAATAGTATTAATTTAGATCCAGGGTTGTCAAACTGGTACCAGAAAGAGCTGGAACCGGTTTGGCATCCCTTGGTTTTGATGCAGAGAAAGTAAACGTGACATGCTATTAGCTTGCAAAATTCACATGTGTTATAGTAATCGCACTGAGCTAGAATTTTAATGTTTGAAAACTGCATGTAAAATGGTAGAACTCAATTTTGTCTCATGCTAAAAATCCATTCTTTACAAGAGAAAACAACTTGTGTGTGCCTTGGATCAGTTATATCTTAGCTGAAAACAAATCTATCCATATCTTTTGGGAATGTTTTTTGCCATTGTCATTCAGACCAAATCATATATTCTATTCAATAAGGTTAATTCCAAATTTGGTGAACAAAAAAGTGCTATTGGTATTTAACATGTACGTTTTGGAGTGAAAAAAATGGAACTTGTGATCATAAAGTACTTTATAATAGAGTAATTGCATTTGAAAACAACTCATTCCCACTCAATCTTGATTATGTCATTTTGGGCCAAATTGAGCGGAACTTTAAGCACATTTGCACAGTCTAAAAATATGTTCTGGCTGCAAAACCAATTTCCCTTATAGCGGGACAAAAATGAGAACTTCTGATTTCTGTCATTAACCGCATCTTAAAACTGTTAACTGCGTAACTGTCAATTTCCAAAGAACGAAATGGATTGTTTCAGAAGCTGGATTAAAACCTCGGATGCGGATAGGTCCATAAGTGCAGAGTTGGTGATACAAATTCATTTATTACCGATACATACTGCAGACAAGGCCCAATGACGGATGTAGTGAAGTTTTAAGCTTTTAAACAATCATGGTTACATTGAGTTTATAACCAACCCGCCATCTTAGCCCCGTTTCCACCAGCCCTACTCGGTTCTACTCTACTCGACCCTGATTGGGAGCGTTTCCACTGGCCCTTGTGCGGACGTCGGTTCAAAATTACCAGCCACAGTAACTAAAAATACACTAAAAGTCATCCAAATTCATCTTGAAAAAACAATTTAGACTAATTTAGACCCCAGCTTGTAATCGACCCAAAAGAATAGTGTGAGGATTTTTGTCCGGTACCAGATATTTCAAGTATGAGTGTCAAACTGGTTCCAGAAAGGGCCAATGTAACTACAGGGTTTCATTCCAACCAAGCAGGAGCAACCCCAGACCCCAACCACTTCCTCAGGTCCTCAGGTCAAGACAGGCCTGGAGAAAATGGGTGGGGTCTTAGTGTGCTCCTGCTTGGTTGGAATGAAAACCTGCAACTACACCGGCTCTTTGACGACCGGTACTAAAATGTAATTACTTTATGCTATAGTTGGAGATTATAGACTAGCTCCTTTATTATGCTAAGGCTAAAGATTGTCTACTTGCTTCTTTACCATGATCAAGTGAGAGATTTTATTTTATTATGGAGTTACTGCTCACTTATCTTTTTATTCTTATCCCTACTGTAACCGGTAATGCAACACTGACATTTCTCCGTTGTGGGAAGAATAAATGATATCTTAATCTTACAGACGGATTAACCATAGTGCTGCTAGAAGCCATGGTTATGAAAGAATTTCCCCGTATACTGGTTTGTTGTCGGTAGGTTGCTAGGATACAGTGCCATTAGACTAAAGCCAAATGGAAACGCATCCAGGTTGAGCCGAACCGGGCCAAGTAGGGCTGTGTTTATTTTTTACTGCAAAGAGCAAATAAACTGAATCTGAACACAGGGCTTCTTGACAACCCAGAAGGTGAACACAGCCTTTCGAAGCACAGGTAACAGACTGGCCAATTTAAATGTATATAACCCAACATCTTACATCGATTTCATGCTCTTGCCTTTTTCATTTCTCATCTCTTACAATGGGCACACTTAAAAAGTACTATTCCGTCTAGTTTTTGACACGTTTTTGAAAACCTGGAGGAGGAAGGAATCGTTGATATAGTTGCGCAGTGGATTTTCAAAATAAAACGTACTTTCAAAACACAATGCAATAACGATACAGGTGCCCGCCGGTGAAGCGCTAGGCAGGACTTTCGCGGTTATAAGTTGGTTGGCGCGGCTCGAATTTTGGCTGCAGATTTTATTTATCATTTAGCGTTTTGAATGCTGCTTTTTTTTACTGGATGCAGCAGTTATTGCGATGGCCGTTGGAATCTTTGAAGCGGAGGCGCATCTTTGGACGATATTTCTCCAGATAGAACAGCTGCTTACTGTTGAAGGCCCCGCGACGCTTCCTGAAACAGAGAGAAAGACACGTTTGAGAAGTTTGCAGATCAAAAATAACCAATTTTTTTGTTAGCGACAAAATGGAAAAAAATCTTGGAACAGTCTTCCGGAAAAAGTGAGACAGGCTTCTTCTCTGACGATGTTTAAATCCAGGTTGAAACAGTTCTGTTTAACTGCAAACAACTGAAGGATTTCATCTTTATTCTTCTTATTGTACTGTGCAATCTTGTTTTGCTAATGTAATTATCTATTTTAACCCTCTATGCACATGGGTAATTTTGGGGAACTTTCCTCGCCTGGTTTTCTTTGTGTATAATTGTTCATAAAACAGTCATCTTTTGATTCAGAGTCAAGCAGTATACTTTGTTTTTTTCAGTACAACCAGGGGTTTTAGAATATTCATATTGTAAAGCTGTCATATGAATTATATAAAAATTATGGAATCATGAAGACAAAGAAAAAAATCAAACGGAAAATCAATTTAACAAAAATGTATTGAAAAAACACAATGAAATGCTATAAACAACTTTTTACACTGCATAGAAATGTTATTTATGGTCTTGGGGATAATGGGGAAAAAAATTGAATCTCTAACTATTATACTTTTTACAAAATTCCAATATAAAAGCAAAAAACTCTGTACTCCTGATGTCCTTCCTGAAGCAGTTTGTCTATAATGCTGGGGTTGCTTCTGTAGTACAGCTGTAAAAAACGTAAAACATAAGAAACTGAGGCAAAAAAAAAAAAAAAACATCAATTATTTATATAATACATATATTTATATACATCATATACACATAATGTCATTTTACTGTATTTATTATCGTCTTTATCAATAATGTGCACTCTTCAGCCGGTTATTGCAATCGCAGCTGTAGTTTCAACTGTGGGAGAAATAGTAAACGCAGAGGAGTGAGAGATCTCACTCTCTGACGATCTTTGGCAGTCCCCGTGTGTTTGTATCTCACAGCTGTTTGTACCTCACGGGTCACGCTTTGGACACGGACTTTCAGACAAACGTAGTTTATCCTCCGTGCATCGCACAGACAAAGCCCTGAAAGCCCTGAATACGTACTTCACAGAGGAAAAAAAAGTAAGTTGCTACGTTTTACTGTTCGCGAGTAAATTGATCATTTGTAAAACATGTACGTGTGCATCGGCGCCGCTCCCGTTTATTTGGTGATATTTTCCAAAGAACGTTACCATGACAGGTTTCCATGGTAACGGTTACTATGGCACCAACTTTCAAGCCGATGACGCCGCAAGGTTCCGGAACACCAGAGATTATTTCATGAGTGTAAGACTGTGGCGGACTCCAAAACCTGAACCCGGAGAGTCTTTTATGAGGCTTTTTATACAGCAGTAAGAAATAGCAGTAAGATATACATATATATCCGCTTTATTAACCTTGTGCTTTATTAACATAACAGCATGAGTGGGAATAGGAATCCGCACGTATGTGCTTCTAGTGCACAACTAGCAGATTACCGACATAATCAAGACGCTTTTAACGCAAAAATTCAGGCGCTCGTCGTTCTGAGGGAAGAGAAAGGTCAAGATACCACTAAGAACACGTCGGCTGCTGAAATACAGACGCAGACCGACGTCAGTACTGAGCTGCTCCAGCTGCAGATGAGGGCCGCCAGAGACAAAGACTTGATACGCACTCTGACAGAAGAGGCCAGCGCGTCAAAGGCCGAGCGTGAGGGTCTTCAAGAGCAGCTGAAGCTTAGAGACGAACAGATCTTGGCTCTGCAGAAGGCCAAGGATCAGGTCCAAGATCAGTTAGAGGCAGCTGAGATCAGTAAGAGAATTTCATTGGGTTTGGCTCACGAGCAATTAGCGCAGTGGAAGGAACCCACCGACGGCTGCAGCTCCAGTCAAAGATAGATTGTCCGTCAGTAGTAATACAGATGGAGAGCGAGACGGAGAGCGAGATAGAACTGAAGCAAAGAGATGAACGGATCCGGGCACTGCAGAAGGAAGTAACGGACGTCAAAGATCAGTTGGAAGCAGTGGAGACGAGTAGGAGGCGTTCATTGGGTTTGGCGAGGGAGCGATTGGAGCGGTGGAAGGAAGTCCAACAACAGAAGAAGCTCCAGTTATCAAAAAAATCTCATCAGATAACACTGGATCAGTCAGTACCATCAGAGACAGAGGGTGGGACAGAACTGAAGCTTAGAGACGAACAGATCTTGGCTCTGCAGAAGGCCAAGAATCAAGTCCAAGATCAGTTAGACGCAGCTGAGAACAGTAAAAGGCGTTCATTGGGTTTGGCGAGGGAGCTATTGGAGCTGTGGAAGGAAACCCAACGACAGAAGCAGCTCCAGTTACCAAAGAAATTTCGTCAGATACCTCTTGATCAGTCAGTACTATCAGAGGGTGAGACAGAACTGAAGCAAAGAGATCAACAAATCCGGGCCCTGCAGAAGGAGGTCACTGAGGTCAAAGATCAGTTAAACGCAGTTAAGACCAGCAGGAGGTGTTCCTTGGGTTTGGCAAGGGGGCGATTGGAGCAGTGGAAGGTATCCCAGAGACAGCAGCAGCTGCAGTTACCAAATACTGATTGTCAGCTCCAGACTCTGAAGGAGGTCAACAAGTCCATGACGTCTGACCAGATAGAGACTGGGCCACATGTACCACTTGTTTAGCCGGTTTATTTAGAGACAGAACTGAAGCAAAGAGATGAACAAATTCGGGCACTGCAGAAGGAAGTAACTGAGGTCAAAGATCAGTTGGAAGCAGTTGAGAACAGTAGGACTCGTTCATTGGGTTTGGCAAGGGCGCGATTGGAGCAGTGGAAGGAAACCCAACAACAGAAGCAGGTCCAGTTACCAAAGAAATCTCATCAGATAACACTGGATCAGTCAGTACTATCAGAGACAGAGGGTGGGACAGAACTGAAGCTTAGAGACGAACAGATCTCGGCTCTGCGGAAGGCCAAGGATCAAGTCCAAGACCGGTTAGAGGCAGCCGAGAACAGTAAGAGGCGTTCCTTGGGTTTGGCGATTGAAGCAGTGGAAGGAAACTCAACGACAGAAACAACTGCAGTTACGAAAGAAATCTTGCCATATACTACTGGATAAACCAGTAGTATTAGAGACAGAGGCCGAGACAGAACTGAAGGTGAGAGATGAACAAATCCGGGCACTGCAGAAGGAGGTCACTGAAGTCAAGGATCAGTTGGAGGCAGTGGAGACCAGCAGGAGGCGTTCATTGGGTTTGGCTCACAAGCGATTGGCGCAGTGGGAGGAAGCCTATCGACGGCTGCAGCTCCAGTCAAAGATAGATTGTCCGTCAGTAGTAATACAGATGGAGAGCGAGACAGAGTGTGAGACAGAGCTGAAGCAAAGAGATGAACGGATCCGGGCACTGCAGAAGGAAGTAACGGACATCAGTTGGAAGCAGTCAAGACCAGTAGGAGGCGTTCATTGCGTTTGGCGAGGTAAGTAAGAAAGAAAGTATAACGATAAATAACATGCTGTCACCGTCACTGGGAGCACACCAGTCTCCCAACCTCACTTTAAACAACTTCAACGTTACAGACAGCTTATCAAATTAAATGCATCGGGTGGAGCCATGAGGGTTGCCAGGTTGGGTTTGGGTTGAACACATTAAGCTTCAAGAAGATGCAAATCAGCAGAATGTACTGGAGAGTTTGTTTGGCTGTTTGTGCTTCTGGAGCTTTGAGGTGGCAACACAAAAACCTGCACATGTTTCTTTGCAGATTCTACACAATGGCCTCAACACGAGTCTGTGTCTCAGTCCAGACCATGTTGTAGATCGGGGAGGTCCGGCTGGTTCAGAAGGAGGTGTGGCTGAGGTCTCAGTCCAATAAGGCAGGACCAGACTCCTCATGGCCCCGGGTCAAGGCTCGACCTGAAGACCTGAGGAAATGAGTGTAGTCTGGAGTGTTCCTGTTTGGTTGGAAGGAAAACCTCAGTGGGACCTCTGGAGAACCAGTCCGTCCTCCTGGTGTAGATCATTCAGGGTAAAGCGACAGCCTCAGTTTGCTCGTTTGACTTTGGATCTGTTCTGGCGTGTGAGCTGTAAGAAGGTTCAGATCCATGTGGTGGATCTAAACTAGATCTAAGTCTGCAATTAGTTTAAAACAACGCTGTGGACTTAGTAAGAGGTTATGAGGCTGTTTTAGTCTGTTTTTTGCCCCCTGACATGTGTGGCAAAATGTCACTGACATTGGCCTTTTTAAAATCAAGGCTCAAAATGTATTTATTCAGACTGGCTTTTAGCACTTTTAACACTCATTAGCACCGTGACCCTTTTTGAATGCTTTTTAACCGTTTTATTGTTTGAATGTATAAATGTTTGAATAGGTTTTATTGTAACCCACTTTGGTCGCCTTGAGTGTTGTAAAGGGCTCTTTAAAAAAAATAGATTTAGGTTTAGACTTTAACAGATTCCAAATAAAGACAATAAATTAGAAAGTTGACTGATTGTTCTTTCTTTTCTACTAAATTATATTCTGTTAGATTTCGATCCGAATCCAACTTGGTGTGGTGTACAGTTAATGGGTGGGATGTGACTGGTTCAGAGGCGATAGTTTAGTTTTTAACAGCAGGCTACAACCTCAAACACACATCACTTCCCTATGTTTTTGTCACACTGTACTACGACTAATTTAGAAGTCTATAGAAGCAGTTTGAGGAAGTTGTGGTGGAAAGTGTTTGTGCCACTTCTCACACACGCAGCAGCCAACAGCAGCTGTGTGTGTCTGACCTAAATGCAAAACAACAACATTTTTAACAACGTGACAAACATAAAAACCCAGAGAGAAGGTGCCGCCTCAGTCTCTGGTGAGATTCTTCAGATACCGATCGTGCTGAAGCCTGAAGTTATGTCACAGTTCAACTTCCCCTTTGTTAAACACCCAGAGCAGCCAATTTGACAGCTTTTAGCTCAGGAAGTGCTCTGTGTGTGTCCATTTTTGGTCTTCACAATTATGACTTCTTCTGCTTCAATATGTAGTTTTTTTTCTATGTTATTCTTTTTATGACATTTTATTTTTGAGTTCCATCTTTAACTCTAATCATTTAAATGTAAAATGTTCTATGTTAAGACAACTGGAAGATCTACCTGTGTAATTCATTTTTTTATTTTTTCAAACTTTTGTCTGCGTGTTTCACGTAGGGAGTGGGGTATGGAGATGCCAAATTGTATTACTTTTTAAATTTAATTTCCTCATCTATATTGTCCTGTGGTGCCCGAGCGTTTTTTTGTGTGTTTTCTGTTTGTTTTAAAGGAAAAAAAAAATCTAATAAAAATATTGTTAAAAAAATAAGTAAAATGTTGTGCCTAAATTGTTAATGTAAAATCCAAATGCAACTATTTTTGGTCACTTCATTATTATTACTATTACTTTGAAATCTACAGTATTTAAAACTACTCCAAAAGATGCCATTTCCGGACTGGCTCAGAGCAAACCCAGCTTGGTGCAAGTACGAGTTACCGTAGCAACGCACCGTTTACTTTCGACAGCCATTAGCTTAGCTGTATTTCAGTTATATTTACCAGCTTTCCAATGTGTTCAAGATTTAAAAACACTGTATGAAATGCTGAACAACTAAAACTTCCATTGATTCTAGCGTGGGAGCTTTAGTATTTTGAGAATCCTGGGGGTCCTGGTGTTAATGATAAATGGTAGTAATGTTGTCAGCCTTTCTCCTCATCGATCTGTCGGTCTCGTCGTGTTCCTTGAGTAAATGCATTTCACTTACTGTCGAATGAACTGGACAGCATCCTCGTACTTCATCCCACATTCGATCAGAGCGAGCGCCACCAGAACCGGAGCTCTGCACAAACAACACGGAGGGTCAAGGCTTTGGTTATTTGTTTAAAACGTTATTGGATACGAGAAGCTCAAGGTGAAGAAATATGAGGTGTGAGAATAAGGGAATATGGGTAGGAAACCAGAAAATTCTTGTTTTGCAGTGAAAATCTATGTCTCTGGATTATCATCATACTGAATGTGCTACAATCTGACACATGTGACCTTTACTAATGTGGTTTACAATAAAAGTGATGTATAGAAGCAAACGTTAGGTTTTCATTTGTGTCAAAGCGTCCTCAAAAATGGCCATTCAATATGAAAGATTTCTTCATGAATTTGAGTATTTCTACAATCTTTTTTACAGGAATCAGAATCACAAGTGTATATGATATAAGGAAGTACTTTTTACCATAGGCAGTATCGCTCAATGAAACCAAAAAGGGAAGTGCTCATGGATGGAGTTTTGCTCCTACTCAATCTGGCTCCTTTTAACTAACAAAAGTAAGCTCTCGCTCAGTAACTGTGACACACTCCCTATTTTTGGGCTATAATAAAACATGGTTAAGCGTTCTTTATGATGCTGGTGTTTATATTTTGAAGGCATCTAACTGGTCAATCCTAATATGAATTGACCAATCAGATGCATTGATTCCAGCTTGCCTTAGCAACTCATTTCAGTTTATTTTTGTGTAGCCCTAAATCACAAAAGAAGTTATCGCAGAGGATTTTACAGTTGTTGATTGGCCAAAACAAATCAGAGAATCAAAAACATTCTCTATAACACATAGAGACATAGGTCCTTAGAGGGGGCAGATGTCCATAAATGTTGATAAATAAATAACACCAGGGCAACCATGTTAGCAACACGTCTGCCCCCGTTACGACACAAAGCTAACGCCATCAAAACAAATTCCCATATAAGGAAATTGGCTCCAGCTAGCTTATGTTCAAATCGGCTTCGAGAGAGAGAGAGAGAGAGATGAAGATACATATTAAACGTACATAAACACACAGTACATATACATACATATACACACACATATATACAGTACATACACATACACACATGTACTTTTCACACATTAACAGAGTAACTGACCTGCCCAGGCCTGCCACACAGTGCACCGCGACGCAGCAGCCCGGCTCCTCCCTGAACTTCAGCTTCAGCAGGTTCAGCCAGTCGTCCACGATCTGATTGGACGGAGGAGCGCCATCGTCAAACGGCCAATCCTGGAGCGGGCAAGAGCAAAGAGGAAGTGAGGTCACAGCCTTTCGTCGCTCGTAGAAACCAGAACAAACCAGAGAAATGCAGAGATCGCAGCAGGGAAGAGGCAGACTCTGACATTTACGAAAACCTTTAATGTCAGAGTCTGGATTAAAGCCTCATGTATTGACCAAATTCTTGTATTTCCCCACATGGAAAGTATTTAGATCATCCCCTAACCTATGGGTGTCAGGGCCAACTTTTAAAATATAAGAGCTGGTTGGGGCCAGATTATAAAAGTTGTGTTTACATATTTCTAAATTAACTGTATTTGACGTAAGTTAGAATATTACTGCAGAACATACTACATGGTTTTTTGCCTGAAACTTAAGGCTTTAAAATTAAGTGTAAAATGCCACAGTAACCCATTACCATCAGTGCTGCAAGTTTCTGCGATAAGATTGAAAATAATTTCTGGGGCCACTAATCATTTCTCGCGGACCGGATTTGGCCCTTGAGCCCGAGTTTGACATATCTGCCGTAACTAAGACAGACTGACCTGGCCCCTAACGACCAGACCAGCAGTCAGAAAGTCAACCTAATTATTGACTGAGCCCGTCTTTGACCGATCAAAAAGTAGGTCGACTAATTTCATTATTATTGACATTTATTCAACCATAAAAGTCCCACTGAGACTTCAGAATCTCTTTTTGGGATGGTGTGGTATTTTATTTTAACAGGGAAAGTGCACAATAAACATTAGCCAAGAGGATGCATTGTACCAGGTTGTAGCAGCAGTGCTAATTTAAACACAACATGCTCAGGGACTACAGGTGTAGAGTCCTGGCCCCAGAGAGAGGAGCTATTGCACATCTTTTTAGTGGTCGGGGAAAAAAACCGGAGCACCTGGAGGAAACTAACACTGACACGCAAATGCCACTCAAGGCACGGTCTATTTTACTGTTGTTAACACAAGTTAATACTGGCGACAGTGGCTCAGTTGGTAGAGCATTGGGGCCTTTGATCCCGAAGGTCGTGGGTTCGAACCCACAACGAGATCCTATCCATCGACTCCCACTGATGTCTGATGTCGTTGTGTCCTTGGGCAAGACACTTAACCCACTTTGCCTATAAGGAGCGCGGAAGTGATGTTTGCTGCTTGCCTTGATGTGTGTGTATCAAACTGAAATTTCCCCATTGTGAGACGAACGACCTTCTTAAAGAGCGACTAAACGAGCGACTTTTTTTAACTCAAACTGCACAAATATGTTTATTGTAGTGCTCTCTACATATCCTAGGGCTGGGCGATATGGCAAAAAAAAAAAATCTCCGATTTTTTCACAGCAAATCCGATTTTCGATTTTAATCGATTTATTTTTTTCTATTTAAAAACAAACTACAACTGACAAAGAAATAGATTGTCCTTTATGCAGTTCAATCTAAATCCCCATGGAGCATAAGTGTAACAGGAATTAAGCCTTAAAACATGCTTGTAAACGAGATGGCTCTGCCATTGTAAACAGTGAAAATGTAGCTTAACAGTTTTATAATAACTTCACTAAAGCTCACCGCACACCGAAACGCAGCGCCCCGCGGCGCGTCCTTTGACGCGCGTTCATGACATGTGTCAAATTACACCGGAACGCCTTGGCTAGCGTCCTTTTCCAGCTGATCGCAGATGAAATGGGTGAGTGACGTTTGGAAGTTTCTACTAAAAGGATTCTGTGGGTTAAATAGCTCTGGGTAACGCTGTACTTGGGTTATCAAGCTTTCCTCGTCCATTGTGACCGGTTTACTTGAGCAATAGCGCCGACAAGTGTGTAAATTTGAGACCGCGCTCACAGCTACGTGATAAGAAGCGCAGAAGAAGAAAACTACGGGTGCTTGGAGGGACAGTTTCAGCCGCGGCGCCGCGTCTGGATTCAACAAAACTGAATCGTGGCGCCCGGTCCAGCGTCGCCGCGCGTCACTGCAACCTTGGTGTGCGTTCTCTCATAGAAAATAAAGGAGGCGGCTCTTTTGCCGCGCGTCAAGGCGTTTCGGTGTGCGTTGGGCTTTACAATGACACTATGCACCTTCAAAATAACTTAAATCACACACACAAGGCCCATCGCAAATATATCAATCCTATTAAACACATGCATTATTTACATGAAATATCACATTTTTAAAACTGATTACTCAAAATAGAAATGTTGTAACAGTCTTTTCCAAAAGCCTCCTCGGGTTTTCATGCTTGTTCTTTCAACTGTGCCTGAGTAACTGTGCTGTAGTACAACGCTCGGTCCAGCTGGTGGCGCTAATACTAACTTCAGTGACTCCCGCATTGTGCGAGCTTCCTGTTTACATTCTGATGCTGTAGCTAACAGCTACTGTAGCAGCTACTGTAGCTAACAGCTACTGTAGCAGCTACTGTAGCTAACAGCTACTGTAGCAGCTACTGTAGCTAACAGAAAGCGGGGAACACGTTGTTTGTATCAGAGCAATGAGAGCAATGTGTGAGACGTGTCTTTCCCCAAAGTGCAGCGGCTCAGTGGGACACGAGTGTGTGCGCGCCACGGACACGGGAGTGCGCTTTGGAATAACGAGCGTGAGAGAGCGTGAAAGATGTGGCGTACGAACATGGCGTACAAACATGGCGACCGGGGCTTGCGTGCGTGTGTGTGTGTGTGTGTGTGTGTGTGTGTTTTGGCGATTAAATAAAGTCTGATTCTTGAACGTTTGAAGTGTTATTGCAACAGCACCAACTGTGAGAGCGAGCATCAGGCCAGAGGGAGACTGTTAGCATTAGGTTAGCTTCAAAATGACTGCTCAACACCATAGACCCGCGGTTAGCGCGTTAGTGCTGTAGTTCTGCGCTGGAGAAAATAAAAATCGAATTTTTAAAAAAAGAAATCGCCCTAAATGTAAAACTCGAATTAATGATTAAAATCGATTAATCGCCCAGCCCTAACATATCCTGGTCATTTTTTTGACATTTTAGTTCAAATTAGATAAAATCTCACTTGTGAAAAAAACTGTGGCGCCCTCTCTACCTTTTTGGTGGTCCTACATTTGAATTTGGTCCTGGCCTCTCCATTGACTCTGGAGTACTGTGTGACGTCAGTTGGTTTATGTGACGTGAGTCTGTCAGAGCCAGTGACATAAACCCATACAACTCTCACACACGCCCCAGCAGCAGGTTGGAGTATTCTGGCAACATCTAGTGGAATAAAATTAAATTACATGAGTAATTCTGAGATAATTGTGTGGCTTAGGTTCAGGTGTGTAGCTTTACAATCATCTTAGTGTGTAAACAAGGGTGGAATGAGACTTTCAGGTGCGTAAACTATTGCTTTAAGCAGCAATGACAACTGTCTGTTTTTGTTTGTTTGACAAGTGAGCTGTCAATCACAGCCCAGACCACGCCCAACTCTGAGCCCCCCTTCTGGTCCCTTGGTCCTCCAGGCAACGCCCTTTAAGAGAACATTTTCTAATCTTCATGTGGGCGGAGTCAGGCTGAGCACAGGTGTTTAGTCGCTCTTTAAGTTATAGCCACTTTTTGTACATAATATCCTGCACAAAAGAGACTATATCTTTAACCTTTAACATGTTTGAACACTTCCGGTCTTTTTGCACAACTTGAGTGATTCTATTTATGCCAAATGTAAGATCAATAAAGTTTATCTAAAGGACTTCTGTCAGTGGTTTATTGATGGAGAATGTATTGATGTGAAACCTGGATGTAAAAGAGGATATAGCTTTGTCAGTCCTGCTTGAGATAAATACAAATAACAGAACCTCCTTGTTTTTAAGACGACGGCAAAAGAGCAAAATAGTCTGAAACATGTAGTTTTTGTGTTTCCGAGCACGGTGACTCACCAGGACCTGAATGCCCTCCTTCACCACCAGAGTTGCATCATATGTGGCCTCACAAACTCGCACCACGGTGGTCACTCCGTACTTCTTCAGCTCCTGCAATTAACCCAGACATTCGTAAACAACAACTTAAAAATCACATTCAAAACTATTCTCGTGCAGGTGAAGTGACAAGAAAAATAACTTTTTTTGGTCTGTTTCTATCCAGTATTTTTACAAAAAAGGTTTTATTTTTTCATTTTAGAGATAAAAAAACCCCCACAGGTATTTAGAGCTGTTTGGACCAAAAGAGGCTAATTAGCAAGAGGCTAACTATCAAGTACGAGATTTGTAGAGATTATAACTCAATGCCTTCATGGACATTAACATAGAATAAACATCCTTTTAAAGAAAAAAACACATGGATAAAGATATACAAAGTAATAAATCATATTGTCTTCTCCAAAGCCCTGTTTCCAGCAGCCCTACTTGGCCCTACTCTGCTCGGCTCTACTCGGCCTGGTTGTGTTTCCATTACACTTTGGTACATGGGGGGTATTTTCATCAAGAGGCTACATTGGGATGTCGCCCTATTGTGGTGGGCCGTGTCTGTTTGCAAGAAGCTACTTCAGTATTCAAATGTAAAAAGCTTATATACATTTATTCATTCATTCATTTAACAAACATGAAGATACCCATGATTTCTTTACGTTTTTGGACATTTTGTTTAGAGCAAATTAACACTAATAACAGTTCATTTATTGCATGCCTTGGTTGCACATAGCAAGTTACACGTTTTTTAGTGAGTTTGACGACTGGGAAGAGTCTGGGGGCCGCATAGAAATTTGAATCCGGCCGGATGTGGCCCCCGGACCGCACTTTGCCCAGGTCTGGTTTAGTATCTGGTATCGTATTCCAACAACCTACCCACAACAAACCAGTATTTGGGGATTTTCTTGCTACTATGGCTCCTACCATCACTCTGGCCAATCGCTGTCAGTTAGAACTCTTTAGTACCGGCTCAGACAAGTTAGAACCAGGGCCAAGTAGGGCTGGTGGAAACGGGGCTAAAGCCGGCGGCGTGTACTTTCTCTCACCTCGATGAATTTGTTCAGCGTGGCGTTGGTGGGATTGTGGGTGATCAGGAACCTCATGTTTTTGTAGGTGATCTCCACCGGGGCTGGTCTGTTCATTCGAGCCATTTTTGACAACGTGAAAAGTAAATTATAGAGTAACAAAAGCCAAAAGTCTTTTTCACAGCGCAAAAAAGGAACAAAAACACGGATGTAAACACTTAAAACGTTGGAGGGAATGTCAACAAAAAATCCGATGGATCCAAATCCTCCAGGCTTCGATTTCTTTCAAAAAAATTGGCTAAAATTGACAAAGGCTGCTGATGTATAGTTTTGGGGCGATGTTGGACAGTTAGCAGCCGATCAGAAAGAAGGCAGACAATCAAAATTTAGAAAAAAACTTAAAAACCTTTTCTTTGTGGAGTGAAACGAAAAGAAATGAAAACAAAAACAAGGCTGGTTCCACCTTATTGTGGCCAGGCGGCGGGCAGTGTGCAGCAGAGGTTGAGTTACCCCATCCAGACAGGTGTCGCTGGTTCTGGAGGCCGGGCCGGTCCTGCCTGAGACGCGGGGGCTCCCTCCGGTGGCTCAAGTGTAGAGTGGCGGCTGGATGAGGAGGTTGGCTGTTCACTCGTCTGCATGTACCACGTGCTGAGCCTGGCAGTAGTCTCCACTGCCCTTCAGAAACTCCATAAATGTGTGACCCAGAACACCACAGAACTGCTGCAAGAGACGAGACAAGGACAACAGCAGTGGGTTAGAGAGGCGTGGGGCAATTGTTAGCGGTGAAAAAAAAAAAAACACTAAAAAATATGATTGTCTGCTACTAGGAGTTGCCCGTTTTCGCCACATTGTCGATGTGTGCGGGGCAGCAACTCCAAGGCAACGGATATAATCAGTTGCCAGTCCGATGTACGCTAGGCATTAAGAATCGCAATAATATTGAATTGTGGCCCAAATATCGCAATACTACCAAGTCCTGAATAGTCACTGTCTTCAGACCCTCCTGCACCAACAAGGAACGACTACATAGAGAGGCGGGTTAAATGCCAGCCCATGTTCTGACACACCAGCCCGTGTTGCTCAGTGTGTATAATCTAATACCATACACATTACAATTTATTCTTGTATAGCCCTAAATCACAACAGCAGTCATCTCAGAGCACTTAACCAAACCATTGAAATCACCAACACAGATCAGAGAATTAACAGTTAAGACACAGAGAATACACATATGTTTTAGTCCATAGGGAGAGACCAATGTCCGTGAATGTTGATAAATGTCCATACATGTTGTAGAATGTTAAAGTGTCCTAGTGTAAGAAAAAGGCGAGCCAAGCAAACCAATTCCTGCGTAGTGTGGAGTAGTAGCTGAGAATGCCTTTGTCCAAACACTTCTCAGAAATCAATTCTATGATTTCATGGAAATAAGGCAAGGCAAGTTTGTTTGTGTACACATGAGACAACTCCAAAGTGCTGAACTAAACAATAACTCAAGGCATTTAAATCCTAAATAATCACAGTACATTAGAAAACATTTTAACCTGGATTTGATCATTGTCGGAGAAGAAGCCCGTCTCACATTTTGAGGGAGACTGTTCCGTTTATTTTACTATGAGACTCTGAAAACGCTGCCTTCCCATGTTTAGTCCAGACTCTGAGCACCAGCACGATACAATATTCTCCACTGACATGTATACATAACCCCATATAGAAAAACATTGCATTTATGAGTGCTAGCATTGGATAAAATGTTAGCTACAAGGGCTTTATTTCCCCCATTTCTGGACACTCCCGATAAAAACTCAATATTTTCCCACTGGGTTTTTATGAGTTTTTCCTCCGATGCAGGAGGGTCTGTTGGATGGTTAGTGGGATGGCGATGATCCAGGACACTTTTCTACAACATGTATGGACATTTATCAACATGTGTTCTACATTCTTTTTGTGTCTTAACTGTGGATTCTCTGATCTGTGTTGGTGATTTCAATGGTTTTGTTAAGTCTCTGAGATGACTTCTGTTGTGATTTAGCGCTATACAAGAATAAATTGTTTTGTAGAGTAAAAGAATACCCAGGCCTGATTACAAAATTAGCCTCTGCCTTATTGATTATTATTGAGGGCTCATTAGGCAGAACACACTCTCGGACACATCTGCCGTAGTCGACAAAACACCACATGTTCTCCAAATTAGAATTGATTATCTGATTGGTTACTTAAAAACGCGTCTTCATCTGCGAGAGACGGATTCTTGCACTTCTAAAAATCAAGCTAAAAACTCTCCGCTCTTCTCATTTCTACTCCTCAGCAGATAAATCAGAATAGTTGAGTTGGCTGCATAAACAAAAAATGGTTGACAACCGATCAATTTAAGACTACGAAGCAAATACAAGAGCCAAAAAGTGTCAAGTACACGGAGAGAATGGACCCAAAGCAGATCAAATACTTATAATCTGGAGAGACCCAGGCTTAGCAGCGATATCAAAAAGAAGTTTCACCCATGGATCCGCACTCAGAAAGCAAATTCAAACATGTACTTTTGGCAGGGGGCAAATGCAAAACAGAAAAAAAGTTCAGGTTTTACTGGTATCGTAAAGAATTGGAGAGAAAACGTCCAAACATATGTTGAATCCGTTTGGCTGGAGGGTGCTGGGCGAGCGCTACAGAAACTAGGAATTGACGTTTCAAAGAATTATTATGAGCATGCATTTTTTTTTCTAGGTAAGAGAGAGAGAGAGAGCTGCTGTGGGTTGGGTAACAGAGTCAGGTGCTCTTCAGGATCCAAAATGCACAAAGCTCAATATTGAAGAGGAGAAAATATGGTCCAACTGACTTTAAAGTACTCACTTCATTATCCAGGGCCACCAACACGTTTTGATCGATTAGGTCTTCATCAGGCCAGACAAATGCTATTTCTGGACCTACTGATTTTTTGCCCAAAATGTTGAGACAAAAACGGTTACTGAGCTAGGAGTTTACTTTTCAATGTAAGTCAATAGGAGCCAGAGTGAGTTGTTGCAGAGTTGAGTATTTCCCTATTAGCGGTTTAGCATTGCCCATCCATACATCTACAGTATCTATTTTTTTCTTTTTTTTAACAGTAGTAACTTGGAACCCTAACCCTGAATTGGCCCAATGTCGACATTGCAGGTTGAAATGGAAATTCTAGTATTGTGACATACACTTAAAATACTTTATTAGGCCACAAGGGAACTAACTTAATACCTGAAAAATAATGGCCTTTTTGGTAACGTTTAAGGCATTCAGTTTGGGTTAAATATAATATAATACTTCCCTACTGATCCTGGAATGGAGTAAGTAAAATCCTATCCGAGCAAATGCAGGCCTTGATTATGCACTTTCCCAGTGTTCTTCTTCCTCCTCCTCCTCTTCTTCCTCTGTTGCTGCTGAGGTTACTGTACATTGCGTATCTCTGCGATAGTGCGTATGTGTCACTTCTAACATGTAGGTCATATTATCTGCGGAGAGAGGCCCGACGAGAGGCTCCTCCACCTCCTACAAACTCTCTGACTCACAAACGCATTCACTTCTCTGCCATTTTGTGCTCCAGTGTTGACAGACTTTGGCACCAGGAACTGTGCTTTCCAAGAAGTCCATTTACCAGAACCCGCATGTGGCTGACCCTGCACAGGCTCAAAGGCAGTCTCAGGCGGTTTGATTGATGTTTGAGGAGATTAGCCGCCCATTTGACAAGCTAATTAATGTGCTTTTAATCAGTTCTTGACACAATCAGGCCAATCTGATGGCGAACGACACGATAAACAGCCGCCGACAATCGCTTTACGCACAAATATGTTTAAGTGTGTGTACAAAGTAGTGCTAAAGTCAACACACACAAAAAAACATTGTACTCTCAAAACTGTCATGTCAATTAAATATTAATAATGGAAAATATAAACAATTGTGAGTAAATACAAAAAGAAATATTTGAATTTTTTTTAAATAACTTTGAGAATAGACTTTAAAGCAGCTCTGGTTGTTTACAAGTCTCTCCATGGCCTCGCACCAAAATACAACCATGACTTGTTGACAAATATGAACCAACTCGGACTCTGAGGAGCACAGGGACTGGCCTCCTGCCGGTGCCCAGAGACAGGACTAAACACGGGGAAGCATCATTTCAGATCCATACCATAACATCTGGAACAGTCTTCCTTAAAAATGTGAGCCAGGCTTCTATTTGTTAATGTACTGTGATTATTATCCATGATTTGAATGCCTTAGATAAAAGGTATATGAGGATTTTCTACTTCCGGGTGGATCATCAAGGCTATTGGTCATCCTAATTGTCAATCATTCTAGTAATAGGTGCTCCTCAAACAAGACCAGACAGTTTTAGCAAAAACTGGAGAACGATGCTTTCCTAAAATGTGGGAAAATCCTCCAATATACCTTTAACCACTTTGCCTTGCCATATGGTGTATGAACTGTGCTATACAAAAAAACATGCCTTGCCTTCACCCATTGCACAACGTAAGCCAGACAGCCGTAGCACAAAGCGTATAACTAAACCCACAACCAAAAAAAGACATATACATTAAAAAAACAACATAGATAGAAGACATTATTTATGCTAAAATGCGTAAAAATATGGATTACAAGGATAACGCCAAACGCACGAATGAGACCGAATTAAGCCGAAATGAGGCCATCCCAGACTGAACAAAGGCTGGCTGGATCGTGGAGGTCGTGTTTGGGTGTCTGTGCTGAGATTACAGCGTGAGAAGGGCTGTAAAAGTCCGAGGGCTTTGTGTCAAGGCACACGGCCGCCATCACGCAACGCTACAGGCCTCAAGGTGCAGTCCTGGCTCCGTAAACTTGCATTATACCAGGATTTTAACACGCAAAACACGGCGTAATATGATTTATACACGTGTTGAAGCGATGGTTAAGGATTTATCCAATTGTCACATGTGGGGTTTGTCTTAAATCTATTGTTTAAATTGAGAGAAGCGTGAAAACCAGCGCGTCTCTCTGCACGAAGCGAACCCACTGAGCAGATTTGCCAAATGCTGTCATTTCTGCGTTAAACCTGAGCGATGATGAGAGAAAATGCGTGTACTTACTGGGATATGCTTACTCATTGAAGATTGTAGCTTAATCATACA